TTAATAAGTGGACTGGCCCGTCCAAATGTCAAAGTGAGGCATTTATAGTGCATAGTGCTCGGCGGGGCTCGAGTTTCTCGCTTGTGGAGTTCAAGTGCACACATATGAAAGAGGAGGGCAAGTCGAAACCGTCAAAATCGCCTGCCCGGCCCCTTGTTTCATATTTTTGTATTTGACTCGCAGTGAAAATGATAAAGCCCATGAAATCGTACGAATGGAATTAACAAGTTTGCCAAATTAAAAATCATATCAATATATTCAACGCTAATTGCTACGCTTGAGAGGGAAAAGAACTATGTATTAAATTTTTCATAAAGAATATAACTTATTAGAATATAAAATATGCAATTAATTTATTTTTTAATTTTTTAATGCTTACAGCTAAAATATAATAAAAATTACTTAAAATAAACTAAAGTATTAAAATTTAATTTAAAGTCTTATTATACAGGAAAAAATAATAATAATTCACTTTTTTTTAAATGTTTAAACGTTTTGTATGTTTGCACGTGAATAACTTATTATACTGTTTATATTATTACTATTTTTTATTATATTATTATACTGTAAAAAAACTATTGCAAATTATTCACATAATTATTTAGAACTTAATAGTCAATAATATTTTTTCCAAAGCACAATATTTATTTGTAGGTAAACTGTCAGTCAAGATTATTTATAGCTCCTTCGCATGAGGCAATGCAAAATGCAAACTCTTGAAAAAGTTTGCGATGCATTCATAAGCAATAATAAATTTAATTCAATGCAGTTTTCCCCCAAGTTCATGTATAAAAACACACGAGTGCACGCTTTCCTTTACTTGAATTTAGATCGCATGCAGACATTGCAGAAACTTTCAGCGAGATTAGCGTGACATTAGAATTATCAATTTTATTTCTATTAACGTGTGGGAGACGCTTACGTTCTACCGTTGCAGTTTCAATGACTTCCACGTAAAGCATTGCAAACCCACTGCTCCTTTCTGACACTCCATTGAGTAATTACCATCACTGAACAAGTCTTCAAGCGAAATAAGTAGTAGAGCGGCAGCTTGAAAAGTGGTTGTAGTACATCTTGGACGACACCTGCCACCGTGGTATAATTAAACTCGACATTGACGCACACCGGCTCTTTGATCGTGCCTTTGATTTGACTCAATTTGTTGGTTTGTTGTTGTTATTTTATGCAAATCGGAAAAAATATCTAACCCTTTATGGATATTGTGGTGCCCTTTGATTATTATTCCACGCTGATTGAAGTGAATTGCGGTTTAAATTACTTTGATTATTGCGAGTCATGCACCTTTTTGCTTCGTACTTTGTGTTCCGAAAGCAGATTTAATATTAAATAATTTATTATTCTACTCTACAATCCTTCAGGACAGCTATTTATTGCTAAAATAATTGCAATTTGCCTTTTGAAATTGAAAATCTTAATTGGCATACGCGCTAATTTTTCATAAATTTCCCTTGATTTCTTCCATATATTTTTATTTTCTTTTAAAATGAATAAATACAAATATGGCTTCATTAGTATTCTAGATCCAATAAACCAAACTGCCAGAATTACAAAATTAAATAGCTTTCACGTTGACTTTAATTCTCTTTGACAGTTCAGTGTAGGTCACGAACTGTCATAGAGCAAGTTGAGCAAAGTGCAAAATAACTCGTCCAACCCTGATGTGCTTCACTTGCTTTTTCTGCTCTTGATTTTTCCTCATTTGCATGTCGGCACACGTGCATATTACTCTTTTGACTGAAAGTGGAAGCACCGCAAGAATTAAGTCAGTCGACGCGCTGACTTTGCAGTGGCTGACCTCACGAGGCGTTCGATTACATTTTTAATTGAAAGTAAAAGTGGCAGCGGCGACGGAGCGGCAGCTCTTTTTATACAATTCTAATAACGACACCAGAGAAGGAAACCGACCGGCTGACTGACAGTTTGGATGCAGATAAAAATATAAAAATGATTCTATATTTTTCCTCCTTTGGCGAGCATTAGATTACATTTCAAACGGCTTCTCTTGTTTTCCCCTTTGATTCGACCCGGCATGAGTTGCTTCGTGTTTTCTTTAGGCCGCCGCGTGCAAGTAGTTTTCTTGCACTTTAATTGATATATTGCCGGTTCGGGGTTACGGCCTGACATGCAGGGTCACTCATTTTACGACCTAGTGTAGGTGTTTTTAATCAGAGACAATGGACCTAGTAGCAAATAATAATTTATAATTTTTTATAAAATAATAGTCTATTTTATTCCTTTTAAAAATAACTATAAAATGATTTTTGTCTTATCAAATTTTTGGGAATATAAATTAAAGCCCGCAACAACAAAAAGAAATTGTTCAGACAATTTAAAATATAAATTTTACCAAATGTTCCAATTTTAATGCTAAAATCTGCAAATAAAACGCACTAAAGATAAAAATAAATTTAAATTCGGAATTTTTCTATGAGCCCCTTTGGATTGCATTCAGCACAATTCAATCTTCCAATAATTTTTTTATTGATTTTTATATACAAAAACTTCTATAAAGTTTCTTGAAGTTGTTGTTGTTGAACCTTTTGGCACTCGTGGTGATCATTTTTTGATGAAGCCGGATTTATTTTCATGAAAAAAATATAAAAAATTGTTCTGATTTCTTGCCTGGTCAAAGGCTTTTAAAATTTTTTGATTCATATAGAAAAAAATTTCATTCGAAAAATCCGGAAAAAATTACATTGCCATCAAATCTGTGCTAAAAAGAAATTTAAATGATTTCAAATCAACACTGAAAAAGCAAATTATCAATCAATATAGATGTTCTTTTTTCTCTCTCTTGTTTTAATTTTTGCGTTTCTTGTATTTAATTTGGATGGTTCTCATGAGGGACAAAGTAGCAACTACAAACTAAAACTAAACATTTGCATTTTTGAGTAGAAAATATTAGAAAAGGAAATTATTTAATACGGCAAGTGCCATGGAATTTATCACTTAAAAAAGTCGCCATGTTCAAATATAGTAAAGAATTTGGCTCAAATTCTTGTAACTAAAATGAGACCCTAGCTCAAGTTTGTTCATTTTGTATGTGTAAACAAGAAGTAATTTCACTCACCGAGGGTGGAAACTGGAAATATAAGTACAAAGAAGCCGGAAAACTTCAAGAGCGATCCCTTATTAACACCCTCTTTTCTCTGCACTCGGCGCATTACTCTAATTAAAACTCAGCCGCGAACAGCAGCAGGGCGAGAGAATCGGCGCAGGGGTTGCACGGACCACCCCTTTACATTCGACCTTGGCATGTTGTTTTGCGATGACGAGGGTGGAATATGAGATGGAAGATATTGACTGACGCCCGATTGCGATCACCGTGTGTGTCGCAAATCAAAATAAATCTGCGCATCAGCCAGGCAGGGCCACACCTCGCGTCTTTTTTCATCCGATCCTCTGCCCAGCCCCCGCGACCTTGTCTTCTTTGCGCGATGATGCGCCACTTATGGGTGGAATTGATTATGCCGGCGTGATTGTGTGCTTTTTCGTTAGTGGGTTACTTGACTGCGGATGTTTCACAAAACGAGCGTATAGTGCGTTTAGTCTGCTGCTCCATCCCAAGCGCGTGCCTCCTATCAGCAAAAACCTCATCTTTTTTCACGCTTGATCAATTTTTGAAATTGCCTTGGTTAATTTAATATGAATATTTTTTATGATTCGGATGTAGCTCACATACTAGACACTTAATGTAGCCCAATTGGCTATAATAATTTTGTAGATTTTTTTTTAACAGAGGGTAAATTTGGAAATACTTATAATACAAAAAAAAATGCAACTTTGTAAAGCATAATGGCCACTTTTAGAGATCTGTATATTTTTCTTCTCATTATATAGACTGTGGAAAAAATTAAATTATATATTTAGTTGCTCATAATTTTTTTAATTTTCCTGAGGTTCACGACATATTTAGACCGTAACTAGAGCAAGTATAGATTCATATTATGTATTTCGAATGGAAGAATATTATTCAACATGAAGACGTAGACTATTTTTCAATCCATAAACATCTCTCCAAAGGTCAATTCCTTTATCCAAGAAAATAAATGCATTTTTTTATCTTTTTAATAGGAAGCTAAAATTTACAATATTTTGAAATTCAATACAATAACCTAATAATAAAGAGAAAGTGATATAATAAATAATTAATCTTCAAATTTTTTTTCTTTGAAAGCTGTATCATTTTTTTGCCATTGTTTGCTATGATTTAAAAAAAGTTTATTAAATAGATTTTAAATTTGAATGCTTTTGTTTAAGTAATCCAAAATAACTGATTGATTTTAATTCAATAACGAGCAAAAATTACAAAAAAAAAGGATTTTATGGATTGCGTGTCTAATGACGTTTTATTAAAATTTTGCAGGGGAAAACCTAAAAACTAATTATATAAAAACAATTTGAGTGTTATAACTTCCAAGGACACTCGTTTTCGTCGCCTAAAATTTCCTTTTTTATCATAATATGATTGATAAGTTCAAAATTTAAGTAATGTTTTATTTAAAAATAAGTTTGCTGCTGCATAATTACCAATTGCAAGCCTGGCAATTTGCAGCAAGCACGCAGACGGAATTAGCAAGCAGAGAATCCAATTTAACTTTGGCGATTTGCTTAATTTCCATTCCGTGACCGGCTGATAGGTTTGCTATTTACGCTGGAGTGCTTTCGAGTTTGCGACGAGAAGCAATCAACTTGGTACCTTTCTCATTTCGTGCCTTACTGAAGCATTGATAACAAACGCCGCGTTTTTATTAATTCTCTACAAGCTGCACAGAGGAAGGACAGGCATTTCCATCGGTCGCGTTTTCGAGATAAGCCGATAATTATCCGATAAGTCTCGAGAGCGCTAAGCTTTGCATAAGTGGAAATTAAGCAGCAGCGAGAGATCAGTCCCTTGCTTCTGCTACTTTCTTACCTATATTTGCTCGCATGAAAATTAAAAAAAAAAGGTTGAGTCAACCTAAAATATTGTTACTCACCAATCTTCAAGACAAAACAGTCCAATGACCTGGAAAATAAAATTTTAAAAATTATAATCTGTGAGACAATGATTGAATAAAAATTGACAATAAATAATGATAAATGGAAGTTTTAAGTTATTTATATAATATTCATTAAAATTTAATCACATTTATTTGACAAGTTCTAAAAAATAGCATAATGTCGTTTATAAAAATCAATAGCAGTACATAAATTACAAAAGTTGAATAAATTAATAATGTATTATTTATCACAGTCTGTATTCAAGATTGAAATAAATATTTTAGTGTAGTACAATATATTATTTTGAATTCATAAAGTAAAAAATAGTTATACAAATCAAATAGAAATGCATATAATTATATTAGCGTTGTAACGTTCTGTGTGATCATAAATTATAATCCCAATCTATTAATAGTTTACCTTTAATCATTGATTGTTTGAAATTATTATTTTTTTTTAAATAGCATATTGCAAAGGTTATTGCTCCCCGCAGAAATAAAAACAATCGCTTCCCAGCATCCCTTGCGAAACAGCTCTCGAGTTGAGAATAAAGGGAAAAAATGATATTGTCGCCAAAGTCATGCACACTCGGTGAGTGTGGCGCGCAATATTAAGAGAGCTCTGAATGCTCGTTGCGAAAATAATATTTTAATCCACCTGCGACAACAATGATTACATTGTTTCCCGGCACTTGGGCATAATGTGATGCTTGAAACGGTGAGTTCGTCCACCGCGTGTGCATTTCACGGATCGCAACCGTCGGGGTGTGATCGCGGTTTCACTTTCCCAACCTTGTGCAACTCGGAAAAAACGCATAAAGAATTATGATAATGCAAATAAATGCAAACTTCTTTGATAATTTAATTCATACAATTTCCTTTTCATCTGTGCACCTTTTTAGTATTTTCAATGGAAACTGTGTTGCAAAATTCCAATATTAAGAGAGAATTTTCATGGCCGAATGGTCAAACATTAAGATTTAAAGGAATCAATCCCTAGATTCAATTTTTTAAATTTACATTTTTTTCGTGAGTAAATTTGTTAAAAAAGAAAAAAACACTCGACATTTTTGTTTCATAATTTTACAGTTTACATTTCAAAAATATTGCTTAAATTTGACTAGAGTCACTTGGAGTTTTAAAATAATTGATCAAAACGAACTGATTTTTCTTTAAATTTTTAACTATTTATTTATTAATTTTTTATTTAATTTTATTGATATAAATTATTTATAAAATTTATTTAATTTAAACAAAATATATTTTCAAACTTAATTGAATGATTGAAAAAAACTAATTTAATATTTATTTTTTCTTCTCACTTGTTCACTGATAGATTACTGATGATACAACATAATTTGCATAACAAAATATGCAGGAAGAACGACACGTTAAATTTTTCCTTACTTCATTAAGATTAATGAACTTATAATTAATTTAATTTAAAAATGACAGCAAACATACCATTTAAAAATATTCATGTTTGCTCCAATAAACAATTCTAAAGAATTATACGACATTCTCAGAATAACAACGGCAATTTATTGGTCCAAAAGTTTGAAGGAGAAAAATGAGCACATTAAAATCCATTAAAATCAATAATTAATACAAAAGTAACCTAACAAAGTAAGCTACTGAGGTGACACGCCGATTTTGATGAAAGTTGGTATGCAACTTGCACTACCCTTGGGTGTTCTGGAATGGCTATCAAAAGTTGCCCAATTTCACAAGGGAGGGTAGTTTACATTAAAACGCATGTTAAAAACTATCAAATGTAGGCAACAAAATCGTCCTCTGTGTATATAATTTGCCTACATCCGATTTCTCCAAAATTACATGGAGTTTAAATGGCAAAAATTAAACAAGGAAAATTGGGCAAAAATTAATAGCCGTTCTGGGGTACCAATGGGTATTAGAAGATGTACACCAATTTTCATTGAAATCGGGGTATGTCATCTCCATAGCATTCCTTGTTAGTAACATAACCTTTCAATTCTCAAATCTACTATTGATGAAAATTTGGCAGATGATATTAAAAATACAGGTATATTTCTAGCAAAGCTTTATGAAAGAGATTTTAATTGCATTTAATGTGTTTGGAGAGATTTAACTGAAATAGTTGGCAACTGGTTGGCTTTGAAATTCAAAACGGTGTATTATCAATCATATCTTGAAATTGAAACAACAAAAATATGGAGTGCTTTTAAAGAGGTGAGAAATTCCATTCATTGATGTCATTAACCATTATCACATTTCTCTACGGCAGATTCAAAAACACTGACTGATAAGAACCAACGTCGTCGACAGACACGCCGTTCGTTTATCGCCCCATTCACAAACGAGACGGGACCTGCTTGATTAATAAATTATTTTTCTTCCAAAAATACAAAAGCGCAGCCAGGGCAAACATAAATCCAAAAAAATTCCAAAGTGACATTCGGAGTCACCCACTCACCGTGTGGTCGAGTGAATGAGGGGGCGTTCCTGACCTTCTCTCAGGGGCTCCGCTGCGGGGGCGCCGGCAGGTCGGGGCCTGCTGTCCGACGGCGCCGACGACGGGCACCGATTGCGAACTTCTAGCCGGCCGAAAAGAGGCTGGACACGTGACAAGGGACGCGAGAAAGGGGCTGTTTTGCCGCACCGACGGCCGATCAAGTGACTTCACTCCGCTTCCCCAACACAAGGATCGAGCACACTGAGAGCTGAGAGATCAGCGGGCGAGCGCGGCAGCAGCGTGCATCTGGCGCACCCGAGCGCGAAAGGATCTAGATTGTCTGCGGCTACACACACCACGGCTCTCTCGCGTACTACACACATGCAAGTGACGTCACATTGTGCGCCTCTTCATCTTCCAGCCAAAGTTTTTTTTTCATTTTATTTCAAATTTAATTTGGAAATCTGTATAAGGAAATTTACAAAAATGCAATTATTATAAAAATACTTCTAAAAATTAATATATAATAATTATCAATTTAATAATGTATGTGAAAAGTATTTATTATAAAGCGATGATAAAGCTATAAAATGCTATTCAAAACGAGAATGCATATATATTAATATCAAATTTGATAGATATTGTAATGACAGGAAAAAAGAAGCGTAAGTTCATATTTTCATTATAATTTCATATGTAGTATTCTTTTCAGTACCTGTAAGACTTTGTTTGTTGATATATAATATAATATAATAAATTTAAAAAAAAATACAAGTGCAGGATAATTTTAAAAGGGTTCCGCAAATTTATACTGCAATCACTTCAAAAGTATATTAAAAAGATTCCTCCGGGCCGGATTCGAACCAGCGACCTATGGATGTCTGCTATTTATCCTTCTACAGTCCACCGCTCTACCAACTGAGCTACCAGAGGAGATGTTCAGAGGGTTTTAAAATTACTGTATTTAAAACTCATTGCTGTTTTATCGTGTTTCACGACGGTTCAATGAAATAATGTTCTGTATTTTCCTTTGAACATTCATTTAAAATGATAATTGAAGTCAATTTTAATATCAAACAGCAAAATTTAACTACATAAATTATTGTATTCTTTGTACTGTTGCTCACGACACCTTCCGGTAGAAAGACAGACTAAATGCCATTTTGTATCAATATAAACGCAAGCCGCGATAGGCGCATGCACTCGCAACATTACTGAATACAATTAATCTGCAAATAATACATGTCATATTATAATTGTTTGTTTGAATTAAACATAAGTTCCATAATATGCTCCATGTACCATTTAAAAAATCAATAACTATTTTCGTAAAACTTGTTTTTCTTTAAATCCAGCTGAAATCCCAAGTGAATGATGCACCTCCTGCAGACCTGTTGCTGCCTCCACTCACAGGAATTCAATGCGAGTTCAAGGTGGGTATGTGGCTGCTTGGCCAATTGTTTACCACAGAGGCCTGACAAAAAATGTAATTTATTTTTACTTTAACTTTGAAATTAATTTCGACTTTTAATAAATTATTAATTTTTAGTACTTTTTACATGGAATATGGAATGTCCAATTAACCCCTCAATCATGATTGATTGCTGGGTTGCAATTGCCTGAGGTCCCAGCATGAGATGTGGCCTCTGGATCTGGAGTTTCCTCAAAGAGCGTCGTTATGATTTATGAAGCACACGCTGATTATTTTAAGCCCTCATGGAACTGCCACAGGCATTTTATGGAGATGCGATCACAGACAATTGAAAAGCAGGGTGCGATATTGGCCAAAGCCAAAACTCTTCAAGCGTTGAATTGACTTCTGCAAGCGTACTTACTTGCAAAATTTACGTTTTGATGAGGGACTCTGTATTGCATTGTAGTTATGTGTAATTGTAATTTATAATTTTTTATAAATATTTTTACTCAATATAACAATAAAATATTTTAAATTTCAACGGGGTATGAAAATCTATGTTGGATAATTATGTATGCACTCAATAACTTTTAAAAATTAACGAATTAAATTAAAAAAACATGATTGGTATAATTTGTATAAGTTTTCCTTTTCTTTCCAGACTTTCATGCGTTAGGAATGGATTTCCCAAAACTATATTGGTTTTCTTCATTTATATATATTATTTATTTATTTAACTAATTTATACTATGGTCAGGCAGTGTTGATTACGTATTCTTTAAAAAAAATATGAATTTATAATATTTTAAATTTGTTACAATATAATTTTGCAGAACTATTTCAATTTAAAAATCAGTCTTTTAATTAAATTATTGTATCCTCTCTTAAAAATAAAGGGGTAGCAACAGCAACAACGAGCACTGCTTTGATTGTTGATTCCATACCTGATTCCTTTTGACCGCGGGGCGATTTTTCTCCTTTGAACATTCCGACATGCTATTAGCGCCCGCGGCACCTAACTGAGAGGCTGTTAAAGACTCTTCCTGCGTCTGAGGTCGCGAACAGTGAGCTGACAAAAAGCGAGCATAAATGAGAATTAAGTAAAAAAAATGTCGCATGTACTTTTAGAATTTAATATTAATGCTGTTAGAATAGTTAGGGCAATACAACGTACAGATTTTACATTAATAAAATTTTGGCTTGAAGTTTTTTAATGCTGGTATATTTTAATAGAGAGCATCGCTGAGGTAATAACTTAGCGTGTGAATACCCCCCCCCCCCCCCCAAAATATTATTTTTATCTTTTTGATAAACAAAAAGTTAAAATATAATGCAACTGCTTTTTTTTTATTTAAGAAACATTAAATAATGTTTGCTTCAATTTTTTCAAAAATTCCTGCGTTCTATTAAGCAAACTGCATATGAAATTTCAAACAGTTATAAAAAAATTATTTTCTATTTGTGTTTGGTATCACGGATAAAAAAATTAATTATAATTAAACTCTAAATTAGTAATAAAATAAAATCTATAACGCACATGGATTGCCTTTTTCGAAAATCACGCAACATCAACTTTTATTGCATTCACCCTTGTTACCAAACCCTCAATTACTGGCTTGTTAGCCACGGGATGGTTTCTCTCGATCACAAGTCTAAAATTATAAACGCGGCTATTGTGGGGTGCTCGTCATGCAACAACCTCCTGAATTAATAAACTATGAGCGCAACAAGGTATGCGTGAAATGAGAAAAAAAATCCTTAAAAAGGTACATTATTTTCAGTTGGTGCAAAAACCTCTAAGGGAAAAAACACTCATCTCAACTCGGTAAAAAAAGTAAAATAGGAGGCGCGCAGTCAGGCTGGTGGAAAATCATCCCCGGCCGATGGCGAGGCGCGGGGGACCTGTGGCTGGCCGCGGCCGCGAGACCTGGTTCAGTCAAAGCTGGCACTCGCGGTTGGTCGGTCGGGGCCTTTTATCTCTCTCGCGATGTTATCCGAGAGTGCAATAGACATCATTTAGCGTGTTCAAACAGATAACAAGTGAATTGTCGTGATTTTTCCTCTCGAGTGGGAAAGTGTGTGCCGTGTGTGATATTTGACGCCGGGCCTTTTTGTATTTATTTTATTGTGTGAGTTCATCATCTAATCCGTGCGTGCCATAAAACAGACGCTCTATGCGAGCCGGAGGATAGCGCGCCGTGCGCCTTTCGATGATAAAATAGTCGTCGAGTGTGCACAAAGGGTTGCGCCAAAGGAATTATGTGATTTCGTCCGACCGACAGCTTTGATTTTGGCCATGGCCCTTTCCACGTCACTTGCAAACGGTCTGCTCGCGCTCCTCGTGCTCCACCATCTTCAACTCACAGTCGGCATTCGGTGGATGTAAGCAAAATTTAATTTTAAATTGCATCAATGGATATTTTCGACACAGATTTCCTTGTTATTTAATATCTTCAATGAAGAAATTAGAAAAAATGGATTTTCATTTCTATGTATATATTTATTTATTGTGCAAAATAATATACAATTATTGAAAAAAAAAAACCAAGTCAACTGAGGCTCACGTTATAGGGTCTTTTTCATCTCGGATGATTTTAGTTTTGACAAAAAACAAAATAAAAATGATTGATTTACCATAATTTATATAAAATGTGGTTCTCAAATAATTATAATTTATTACAAGCATAAAATTTATACTAATAGATGCAATTCATTAATTGTTCATTAGTTCATTATATTATTATAAGCTTCACCATTTTGAAATAATTATAGTGTGTTAATTTTATGACGCTGTTTTTCAAAGAGTTTCCATCAATCGCCATCAATATTGCTTATTTGCTTTACAACATTAAATTATATTTCATATTAATAATTGGGAGTTTAATGTGAATTTTTAGATACTTCATCATTCTCATACTTTAAATACATTTAACGAAATTCACTCAGCATGGAAAATACTGTTTTCACCTCAAATACTTCAACTTACAAAACTCAACCATGTATTAAATTAATATATAAATTTTTACTAATTGTAAGGAATAAAAAAGAACAATTTTATACAATGCATAATGCAACAGCAAAATAACCGATTCTACCATTATTAAAATCAAGCATACAATTATAAACAAAATTAAATTTAAAATTTTTAACAATTATATACTTTAAAATAAAAGTTTTTATGAAAAATAATAATTAAAAAAAACAATAAGTAACATAAAACAATAACCTACTTTATGATTATGTTAAAAAAACTTTCATTAAATACTTTTACAATTAAACTTAAGCGTTGAAGTATTCAGTATACAACTTTTTCTCTATACCACTATAATACTTAATAATATCAAGGGGGTCCTCCGCGTTGAGCAGCTATAATAATTTACACACACCCGACTATTACCCCGCAATTACCTTTTCCCATTTCAGGGCGTTGCATCGGGTCTCACCGAGTGTTTGGAACGTTTCAAGCCCCATAGCGTTCAGCGGCGGCGGCGGCCACTGGCGACGAGCGCTCAAGGACGACTTCGGCCTCTCAAAGAGGCAAGAACGTTTCTGCAGGGAAGCCCCTGAACTGCTACCCCTGCTGAGCAAGGCGGCCCAAACGGCCCTGGCCTCCTGCCAGCAGGCCTTCCACGATCGGAGGTGGAATTGCTCCAGCCTGACGGAGGCGCCGCGTCTCTCGCCAGACCTCACATCAGGTCAGAAACGGAATTTTTTTCTTTTCCATCCAGAATTTTGCAAATTAAAAAAAATTTACTTATTGGGGAAACATTTTCACTAAAACCAAATTTTTTAATGATTTTTTTTAAATATTTTTTTACTCTTTTCTCTTTTTTTTCGTAATGAGATTAGGTTCATTTTTTTTTCTTTTTGGCCTAATTTTCAATTTAAATGATGATGTGTGGCACCCAAAGGTGTATAATTAGTAATCATTAATAGAGCGAGCTAGTTGATGTACAAGAGCGCCGCAGGAAGTCGCACCTATAAATCAAGACCAATTATTCAAAATTATAATTAGCATGTATGGGAAGAGGAAAAGAAAAATGCAAAATTGCTTAATGATCGCCATAAATCATGTTTGCACCACTCTCATATTTGATCAAAACTTGTTTTGTGGTGCAAAATTTACCAGATTACAAAACATTAAACCTTACAAAATCCCACGAAAAGCGTGCAAATTATGTTAGAAAATTCATTTTGGGATTATATTAAATTTTATATTTTACGTTTTGAAATCAATTAAATCTTAAAATTTTTCATTAACAAATAATGGATTTAACTGGAAGTTGAAATAATTTGTTAATTGAAATAAAATTAGTTGTCAACTATTCATCAGGTACAAGAGAACAGGCGTTTGTCTACGCTTTAACTTCGGCCGCAGTGGCGCACACCGTGTCCAAAGCGTGCGCCACCGGAGCCCTTTACGACTGTCCGTGTGCGACCACCCCCAGGACGCCTCCTGACGGTAATTTTAAGTGGGGCGGCTGCGGAGACAACGTGGCCTACGGACTGACAGTGAGCAAGAAATTTCTGGACGTGTTGGAGCGTGGAAGGGCGCGGACCGAGGAGGATGAAGAGCTCCAGAGTTTGGCCAACTTACAGGGTGCCAACGTTGTTAACAAGAGGAAGTCGCTTCTTGCCCTCGTCAACTTGCACAACAATAGAGCGGGGAGAAGGGTAAGTATACTTAAAGAGTTTTTAATTATTAAAAGTGTTATTTTACTTGAAAGTTTAACAAATTTTTGAAGCATGTAATATTCATAAAATTAAAAATAATTTAAAAAATAAATATTAAATTTGATGCATGATCTATTTACTTAAGATAATTTAAGTGTATTTTTAAACACATTATATTAATTGCATTGAATATTATGGAGCGCGCATTCATAAATATACTGATAAAATCTGTAAAAAAAAAACTGAGATAAATATAAAATTTAATAAGTCTTAATTTTGACCTCTGGTAAATCCTGATTATTTAGGCTTTGGAAATGAGCGTCACGCAACAATGCAAGTGTCATGGGGTGAGCGGGTCGTGCAACATCAAGACCTGCTGGCGCGCCCTGACAAAGGTGCACGACGTGGCGCAGCGGCTGAAGCGTCGTTACGCGACCGCCACTGAGGTGGCCATGCAGAAGCGCGGCATCGCAGGACGCAGGCACTTGCAACCAACCCTGCTGACCATCGCCAAGCTGCCGGCGGGTGGCAGGGTCACCCCTTTCGGCAAGGAGGACCTGCTCTACGCGGTTAAGTCGCCCGACTACTGCAATCGGGACAGCAAGTACGGCAGTCTTGGCACTCGCGGAAGGCAAGTTACCAAAATTTAAATCATTTTATCTTCTTCAATCAAACTAATTCACTTATGAAAGATTATTATTATAAAAATTATAAGCCTTGCACTTAAATTATTATTATTTTTCAAACTGTCAATTGTATAATAAATATCATTAGTTAAAAGTTATTACAAGTTTTCACGAATTTAGGTAATTGATAATTTGAACTTTCCGTTGCTCAAATAGTGCTTTTCCGTGTTCTATATCATTTTTTTAGATAGATTTACAAAGCCGCTGGTGTTCTCCTACAATTCCATTGTCAGGACTAAATGCGCTTTGAAAGTTTTAAGACGAGAACAAACATTAAAATTAATTTTGATTCGTACGCACATGCTAATGCGATGTGTAAATTGTTATTTGCGTTGAGGCACTAAAACCTATCTTCTTTCAAGACACAAAACGAAGGCTGCACCTTTCGGGTCAAAATTTTTATAGGTCTCTTGAATACAAGGAAAATTAAGCAACACCCTACAGAATTTTATTTTCCATGAGGATGCATCCGTAAAAAAAAATGTATTTGAAACTGGTGAAAATCTGTTTGGCACGAAAAAATTTAAAAAAAAAAGACAAACTCCTAAATTGGTATGCATAAAATATTCGCGTTCAACTTGGCGGAGTAAGTAGCTGTGAAAATTACCATAATCAGTGATGGTCCATATCATCATTAAAATTAAACATGTCCCGTTTGGCGTTTCGTAAACGGCCCGCCGCCGACAAATCTGTGTACACTTTTGAGGAAAATTTCAATTACAAATTCACGATGCGTGTCGCGAGCGCGGAATTGATGATGAGAAACGAGATTCTGTGCGCTGCTAATTGCATCTCGCATCTCTTCTCTCAAGGATATTTCAAATCTTTCCTTCTTGGCTTGCGTTCGGGAAGAACATTTTTTCGGTCGGCTCTTCTTGATTCTCTTAACTTGGTTAATAGACGCCTATAACTCGGGCTGTGCTGTATAATTACACGTTTGTGGTGTGTGTGCGGCCGGCGCGCGTTAGACACAGCCGACGGCCATCCAGAAAACAACCGGCCATCAGCGGCGGCCCTGTGATCCGACGGCGCGCCGCCGCTCAATCTCTGATCACACCTGAGTGAGACCACCTCTCACTCAATTCCATTGCATTTTTCCTCTCATACTTTGGGTTGCAAGCAAAATATCTCCCAAACATAAAAATCTCTCACTAAATAAAATCACACCAGTTTAAACTTGCATTCAAAAATTAAATTTTAATAAAAGCAGAAGTGAGACACAAAATTGGTTTTCTCTTCCACTGCAAATAATTAAATTATAGAAAAGGTAAAGACGGTGGATAGATCTGAAAATTGTGGCAATATTTATAAATTGTTATTACCACCAAGAATAATAAATTAATAATTTAGTTTTGAATAAAAAGCAATTTTTTAATGAGGCCAAAGCCCATTTTCTTTTATTCCAATAATAATTTAACTGCATTTTCCTCAATTTTTTTAATCAAATTTTTCCTCTCTAATAATTAAGAAAGTGTGCAACCACTATTAAGCTTTGAATAATTTATGAATGGAACAAGCGGAGAAACTCCGTTTCAAATTTTTACATCATAATTATGTGGGAATGGTGAAAAGAAGTCTTTGCATTTTAATTCACACCAAATTTACTCTAAAGAAAAAAAAACAGTGCCGTAGTAACTAATTTCCTAAAAAAAAAAAAAATATTCTTAAAAATTTATTTTTCACCAGTATTCTCATATTATTATGTTCTTCATTAGATTTCTTAACAATAATTTTTTGAGTTTTTTTTATGCTGTTAATAATCAATGTTAATTTTCTGGAATAGAATCAATCGAATCGGGTAATTAATAAATAAATAATTTGATGTTTTTCCAGCACGTATTATTGCAATCGCTGCATTAAAGGTATAACATATAAAAATCATTCCAAACAAGAATTTTCTATATTCCCTAATTGGTAAAGCCAGGTAATCTCGATGAGCTCTAATAAAACTTGTAATCTGATGTGCGTATAGCGCCCACGCGCAGCTATTATATTTTTTTCTAAACTGCGTTTATTACTCGAGAATTACGGCATTTCACTCTGGTATACCTATTATTTCTCTCCATAAACGTAATAGGGTAGAATGGGTTCGAAAGCGCGCGGGAGAGAAAGAGAGAGGTGTATTTATATTGTATGTACGCGTGCATGATGAATTGATTGTTGTTTCAGGCAGATGGACGCAGAGATAAAAGCAAGATAAGACGCTCTCAAGTTAATTAAGCACGCCTCATTGGCTGGTGCTAATGACGGTGGGCATGCCTTTGTGGAGCGAGAGAGGCTCTTTATTGCTTTGCCCTTTCTCACCCTGTTGGCCGTGCATGTCACTGTTATCCGATTAAAAGGCTTTTGAGAGTGTAATACAACGTAAACGTTTCTAGAAAAGAGATGATTCACGATAATCTTTTCTCTCTGACGCGTCTGCTTTATTTTGTTTATGATGAATAGTACACAAAGTTCAAATATAATTTGCAAAATGAAAGAAAGAGAACTATATAAAAAATTAAATAAAAAATAATAAAGTTAAAATGCTTGACTTGTGTAATGTGTGTCTATTTCAGTCTTCTAATCCAAATTTGCCCAATTTCTAGTAATAATTTTAAAATGCCAATTATCTCTCAATAGTTACTTTCAAGCTTTTTTTGTGAAAAAAATGTGGTTTCCTTCAAAATATTAGTGTGCTGTGTAAAAATGATAGGTTTTAAAGTTGGAGATTTCAACGCGCGAATATATATCTTTTTAGCTAACTATATAGGAGCTCCTTTTGCTCTTTAAAGTTTGTTTATTTTGCATACTCCGGATTAAATATTCAACCAGAACTTAACAACCGCGAAAATTTGATCAGATAACTGAGAAAAATCGCGATCCAGCGCGATTGTGACAACACAAAGGGAGAGGGAATTGGCGGAGTGACGGATTCCTGTCACTCCGAGTTTTGCGTACTGTAACGTTTTTCGAACGCAGAGCACAATAATGAGAGAAACACTGACTGACTATAAACCGACCTGTCCAGTCGACACTGGCTGCAGGGACCATACCATATACCTGTTTTTCGCCGTGCCTAAAATATGTTTGCTAACAACACGCAGCAGCAGCAGTGCTTGACCATGTAAATATGTAGCAGCTCGCATTTTTGTCAGTGCACGGCAAAAAAGGTCGTTTCGCGGAATTTCAGCGAGAGACATTGATGCAAGAATGACAGGGAGAGAGCTCGAGAGACGTTTCTCGTTGTTTTTATATCGTAAACCATAAAGAGAAAAGAGACGAATATAAACTGGCAGCGTGCGTAACACCGCCCTAATGAGATGGAACATATAATTATTTTTTGTCTTTCAGATCAAGAGCTATTTTAATTAAAACGCGGAAAACGCCATTCCTGAATTTTTAATATTAATATATGCCAATTATTTTTTTCAGGGCCTGCAATTCGAGCGAGGAGGCCAAGCATCAGTTTGACGCTTGTTCGAGCATGTGTTGCGGGCGCGGCTTTGTCACCCGGAGGGAGGAGATTCTCGAGAGGTGTCATTGCAAATATCACTGGTGCTGCTACGTCAAGTGCAAAACCTGCCAAAGGACAGTTTTTGTCAGCCAGTGCATTTAGTATTTTCCAACCAAAATTTGTGCATTTATTTTAATTGAGTATCTTCCTCGACTGATTTTTCCATTGCAGTACTTTAATTTCATATTTTATTTCTCTACATTTGTTCTTTTGTATTTAATTATAATTTTAAACTCTAAATAACTTTTTTTCGTATTGGTCTATTGGAATAGTCAAATGAGAATTGTATATTTAAGCCAAGGAACTTCAACCAAAATCTTGTCTTACCGACTTCATTTGTTGTATGAAAATTGATAAAACTGAACAAAAAATTCCATAACTGTGCCTTTCAAGAGTTTTGTTTTTGTACGTTATTATGTTAACCATGTATGTAAGGTCTCTGTTTTTGCAAAATGACCAGTCATGTTCACTTTCAAAAATTTAAACACAAGAACATTTTATTAAATAAAGTAACTTACAAAGCGATGAGTTTGTCACAATTCGGAGTGAGGAAAGCTTTTCTGAGAGTCTTCTTTCAATTGTTGTTGCTGTTGGTGGTGATGTTCAGAATTCACCCGTTCCTGAACCTGTTTGATTTCCTCGTCGTAGCCCTTCCACTCTGGCAGAATTCGCATGGCAGCGGTGAGTTTTGCCTCCTTGGTTAGAGGATTGTTGCACTAATCAAATACATAGGATTTCAGTGAAAACAATTAAGCCAATATTTAAATGTGGTTTTTACCAAATCAATGGTTTTTGCTTTTTTCTTTGAATCGTCGTCACACCAGGTTTCACACCACAACCACTCCTGTGGTAATGATTTGATCAGCACTTGGTGAACCATGTTGTTGGGCAAGTCCTGGTCGAGATTGGAAAGACTATTCGGGTCCTGGCTCAGTGCCTGGTATTGACCCCTGAGCCTATCGCCAGCAGCGATTCTTCTAAATTTCTTCAGGTCAACGACGTAAAGCGCACTGATGTGATATCTCCTTCCTTGCAGATGGTTGCGCCAGTAACCAGATTTCCAAAACCTGAATGGACGATAAAATGATTTTTATTTCTTCAAATTTTCTTAATTGGTACTCACCGGAAACCGTCCATCTCTTTTCTGCTATCACAGAAAGGTGTGTAGCCATAAGGAGCGCCTCCCAAGTCAAAATCACGCAGCTCCTTCAGGTCTGTTCTTACAACCTGAAATTTTTAAGTTAAACAAACTATAATCTTTAGAGTAGAAAACAAACCTGATCTGCGTCAACGAAGATAATTTTCTTGACATCAAGAGGAAACAGCACATCCAGGAAGAGAATTTTGTAGCCCCAAATCATCCTCTGTTTCTCAGTCTGCTGGTGGAGCCAGCGGGGCCATTTGTACTCAACAAGGCCATATTCGAAGCCATATTCTTTGGCCATGTGAGGCAAAAAGTCCTATAATTAAAATTGTATTAACAGAAGAAAATCGAGACGGATAAAACTTACTTTGAAAGTGGGAGAGAGATAATTTTTGAGGAACCAGAATTTGACCGGCGTCTTTGTGTGTTTGATGACGCTCAGCATCATGATGCGCAGGAAGCGCTCGTACAAGTGGCCCGATGCAAGAGAAAAGATGTTTAAACGCTCCTCCTCTTTTGATTCATCTCCAGAAGAGGTTTTGCTAAAAGTGCTAAAATTTAAAGAGAGCAAACATAAGCTACGATAGATAAACAGATTCAAGAGTAGGAGTTTAAATAGTATAAAAGCTATAATTTATTTCTACAGCTGTTTTTAAGTTTTCAAATCAAGCATACAGAGAATGAATCAAATACTATGGGTTTAGGAGCAAAGGGGGCTTTGCTAGCTCTGGCTATGATATAACAGGCTTCCTGAAATACATTGGGGAAATTAAAAGCCTGCTTTTTTCACCTCCAGAGTAGTCTTGTCAGATAACCAATTGGATTGTACCAAAAATATTGTTCTAACTGACGCTCCTGTTGCCTTCTAACTTTTTTATAATCTGAACGGATCCTTTTGTTAAGAGAGAAGAGTAAGATGGAAAAATTTGATTAAATAATATAATACCTGGTGATGGAGTTCCAAATGCCTGGAGCTTCGTCATCAGCCAAGAGATCAACACCAATTTTATCTGGCTTTTTAGCAACCTTCAGCTTCAAGACGTTGCTCCTGAAGGACGAAATCAAAATGTGATGTTCTTCAGATTCTGGTGGGTTATCAGAACCATCGACACTGCAGATTTCATAAAATTAAGAAAACTTTGTTATCTAAAATTGTATTCCTTAACAAACCTAACAATGTCAAAAATATCAGCTGATCTGCCTTGTCGAAGACGCAGCAGCCAAGACCCAGGGTTGGCTTTGAGTTGGAAATAACCTAAATTGGCCATCACAATTGTATCCACAACGACTGGTTCATGCTTTGTTCCCAAGGTCACCTGAAGACCTCTAGGTGGTGCCCCTGACATAGCTTCAGAGCAATGGCCCTCTAATAGTAACGAGGACAACTCAAATTCGCTAAACAAAATCAATAAATACTTGCTTCAAGACACTTTTTTCAAATTTACCTGTGGACGACGCTCATGACGTCTTCAAGTTTGATATTATCCAAGTCATAAGGACTTCGTACAGCCTCAACAAGCCAGTTCTCTGGTGGATGCATATTCTGTGTGAGCAGAACCGACTGAGGCATGTTGATGAAGCGAGCAGTGGGCCCAGCAGTCAATTTTCCATCAGCAGTGAACTGTGGCTCAGGCTCCAACACATACCGGTAAAAACTCTTCAATGGCATGTCGCTGTGCTTCTCCACTGCATTTAGATAAAGGTTGATTCGGCAGTTGACAGCTTCATGCAACACCATCAAAATTGGACCAATTTTCTGGGCTCCTCTAGAAACGGGATCCACAACGACGGAAATGTCAAATATTGGTAGGTCTGCGTGCTTCGGAGGTAATTTGACCACACTATAAACCAAAATTATTATTAGATAGGAAATAAAATTAGCTTTCAACAATTCACCTGTATTGATCACCAACAAACGGTATTTCAAATCGACTTTTGGTTGACGGTCTGGATACAAGTATGGCTACCAGTCTCATCAAAAGATCACTAGATTGACGGCCTCTAGGGACTGAAGGAAGAATTTCAAAGAGTTCTTAAAAAGTTAATTTTTTACCTTGGTCAGCCTCATACGAATTTTCGTCTGCCTTCTTGATTGCTTGCTGAAGTCGGTCAGTGTGAGCAGTCATCGAAAACTTGTCCAGCAGAGCAAAATCATCAGCCAAGAACTTTTCGTCATCTTCAAGTGGACCAAGAATCCTTCCATTAGAAATAACAGCTCTTGAACCTGCAGGGATCATCAAAACGGTTTGGCAGAACTCAGAGTAGGCCTTCAATAAAGTAGTTGCTTCTTCGGAAGCTGGGAATGTTTTGAAATCACTCAGATCGACTTGCTGGAATTTAAAAATATTTGTTAAATTTGGCATTCTCATTTTTAAGAAAAAATTAAAAACCTCAATTCCTGAAAGAGAATTGAAGTTAAAGTCTGCATTGTTGTAAATTTTCTGTGCTGTTTCTTCCGTAACGATGTGCTTCAAAAGGGCCTTTGCACTTTGGGTAGGCAGTGTAAGTGCAGCTAAAGCAATGCGAGAAATTTTTGATTGGTGGTCCGATGTGCTTTTCACGTTAGGCAAAAATGCTAGCCGTATGTAAGACGACGAATCCTGAGAAAATGAGTATAATTTTTTCTTATCTATAACAGTTGATTATTACTATTACCAAGTTCTCCAAACTCTGGTACAGTAATTCTCTGCCCTCCGGAGTCTCCAAGTCAGTAGCAACCCACAAGGTCAGGGGGTGTGTGGACGCTGCGTCCTTGTAGGTCAGGTACTTCACCTCACTGATGATTCTCGAAGTTTTGTCTTGAGGGTTCAGCAAGTGGAACTTACTTTGCCAATTTTCAAGGCTCTCCACAGACTTTCCACTCATGTCAAGATATTTTGTTTTTGAGTCCAAAATTCTCTCGTTAAGTCTAAGGAGGACTTTTTGTAAGTATTGTCTTCAAAGAATTTGAATTGAACTCAAACCTTGGCATGATGTTGGGTTTGTTCATCAAGAAGTCGAGAATGTCGTCCTTATCACTCAATTCTCCTTTGTACACAGCCCGCTGTATTGAAGGAGTTTGAGCCATAATTTCAGTCAGGACAGCTTCCTCAAAGCTGTCTCCGTTCAGAAAATCTTCAGGCAGAGGAATTCCATTTAACAACACCTTTGGAATGAAAGATATTAAATTTTTTTCATTATTCAAGTAAGCAACCAATTAAATACCTTAGGCAGGTGTCTGAATCCAGCCCTGCCTACAAATTCCTTAGCAAGCATTCTGCCAAAGTCGTACGGAGAATCAGGTCCAAGTACCAGATCAATGTCAACTTGTGGATATTTTGCAACCAAGGCAGACTCAACAATGTCAGTTGTGATTTCACCCTCTTCCTCTCCAACCGACGCATAAACCTGAACAATTTTCTTGTTAAAATTATAACAAATTAAAATATTAATAAATTACATCTGTAATTAGACTGACTCCCTGCTGGGCATTGCTATTTTCTGTGGCGTAGTTGTACGCTTCAAGAAGTGCAATACCAGCGTTAGTTTTGCCAGTTTCATCCTTTGTTGCGTTGACGGCTAAAACCAGTCCAACTCGAAGAGGCGCTTGATGAATCAGGAAGGACTCGGCCAGTTTGAGTAAAGGTCGGGCCTCAACACTCACAGGGTCAATCACGAGCACCAGGTTGTAAATGTTCTTACGGACGGACCTCAGCATGCCAGGAAAGGTGGGTCGCAAAAGTTCCATCAGAGAGGAAGACCACCTTTTGTACTGCTTATCGTTTTCAATGTCATTTATCCACTGGACAGCAGAGTCTCGAATGTCCAAGGCATATTCTGTTGCACCTCCGGAAGCACCGCTGTTTACATTTGAAGAGGAAGAAGAGGAAAAATCAAGGGCCAAAAGTGAACCCATTTGGTGTTGCTTGACACCTGAAATTTATTTTCAATTAAGAATCAATTAAAAATATGAATTAATTTCACTGACCAACACCGAAAAGGCCTTCCATGGTTCTCAGCTCGGACCTGGCAGCTTCCAACAAAGCCCCAGCATCGATAGTGTCAACATCAAAGAATAGACCATTTAAAAATAAGGCAGAGTCAGCTGGCTGAAGACTGAGTGAAGATAAAAAGGCTTCTTGGTTTTTCTTGATTTCCTTTTTTAAGTCTTGAGAAACGGCCGTCCTGATCAAAGAGCGTGCCTATAATTTTATAGTTGAATTTAATTCGATAAAAAATTAAAATTTTTACTTGAAGAGGGAAGTTGTGAGCAATGTGGGTGAAGGTCTTGAGTGCCTCATCAAGGGGAGAGCTCATGACTCTCTCAGCAGCCTGCAGACTGAGCTCCTGCAGTTGCCAGGCCTTCAGAGGTGCCAGTTCACTGTTGGTATCAATCAAGTGTTGACGCAGCTTCGAAAGGCTTGAAACTTTGTCAGGATACATGGTCCTTTAGAAAAATTTGAAAAATTAAATACAATTGTTAAGGGGCTCAAGATTAATATATACTTAAGCCGTCCAAAATTGAAGCCTTCAACTTCATCTTCCTCCTCCTGATCAGCACCACCTCCAGCACCATCATCGTCGTCCTTTACCTGTTATGAAAATTTTATAATTAAAAATATTAAAATAAAAACAATATTTACTTGTGAGTCGTCCTGCACTTTGTACTCAGTGCTTTTAATCTGCAGCTCCACACCATAACCTGACAAAAGGAGTTTGCCAGCATTTCTCCTTTTGCTCTAATTTTAAAGCAAATAATCAATTTATAATCAAGAATATTCTCAAATCCATCCTACCGGCACAATGTAATGGCGCAAAACATAATCGATGTTATGCTGGCTGGCAGCCTCTTTCATTACTTTGTGGAACTTTTGGAATTCCTCAGTTCCAAGCTCCGCATAAAGCACCGCTGTCGCCCGAGACGGAGCACTCGACTTTTGGTAGTGATGGTCTAATTTGTATAAAATTGTATTTTCACCCTCTAGAACAGTATTTAGCTAAAACAAAATTAATTGAAATCATCAACTATGGAAATATTGATAATTTTTTTCAACATTACTTTTGGTAGAATTTCTGCAGGATTGCACAAAAGAGTGCCGTGGAGATCAACAGCGGCCACGCAGTTGCTTTCATCAAGGCCGCGTTCATGGGCTATTTGCGAGTACATCTCGATACGTGGAGAATATACCCTCATCGAGAGAGCTAGTTTGAGCATCGACTCTTGCGCCGGACTAGCAATTTTCCTCACTTGGCCCAGGACTATCCCATACCATTCTTTATCGGTCACTAAAAATAATAATAAAATAATTAGAAATTAGAAAAATTTTCTTCAGCAAGCCTACATTGTGGAATTGATTTTGGGTCGATGTCGTTAATTAAATCGACAAATTTCCACATCAGCTCCGGTGACTCCTCTGCCAAATATTCGGCCGTTTCGAGCAAAAACGGAGTTGATGTCCATTTTGCCTCAATTTGCGTTGTCACCGACTTGGACTTCTTGTTGCTCGACTTGGCGCCTTGCGTGTTCGGCGAAAATGAACAAATGGCAAGGAATGCAAGGCAAATCTGTGGAAAATTAAGACACAGTTAAAATTTATCAAAAACTAAAACGTCACTGGAATTTTATCATCACACGAATCACCGGCACCTACCTGGCTGACTTTTAGATGCATGTTTCTAATCGAATTTACACAGAGGCCACACCAAAATACGCTCTATTTAATGAGTAGCAAAATAGACTTCATCTCTGTCAGCGTAAAAAGCTCAAGAGTTTTATGGTTTGATCAGTTTTCACGGAAAAAATGCCACACAAACTCTTGACGTCCAAATACAAAACATGCAGAACAATTGACGACAGATAATTTTTGTCGACCAATCACAGGGAGACATGTAGGTGAAACCCCATTAGTGCTGAAAATCGATTTAAACCATTTCAATCCTGTGAAATACAGACTTTGAAAGAGATGAAATTATTAAAATAAATTACTTAAATATATTTTCTGTTACTTGCAAATAGAAACACTCACAAATGTTTGCGAAATTTCATTATTTTTGGAAAAAATTATTTTGCAAAAATCAATTTCCCGCTTTCAAACAAATGACGATCGGCGCCACCTGGTTTTTTAGCGGCAAGATTATTTTGGCGCCCATGCACGTATGCTAATATTGGGACAGATGTTTTTATTTTTTCTTCTCTGGAATTTGCAAGTTTTGAAGGTTTAAGCAAAATTTTTTCGATTCTACAATGGGCGACGAAAGCGGTAAGCGTATTTTCTTATAATTTAGCAAAAAACTATGCATAACTATAGCTATTCAAACGAAATTTTTCGAAAATTTAAGCATCCTCAGTTTTAATTTTTTTTTGTCCAGATCGTTTATGGAGTAATTATAATTAAATCTGTCCGTAGTGGCTTCGTCACGTTCCCGTCGCCAGAAGAGTGATAAGCACGGCAGGTTCGCTGCATTGCAGAGGTTGAAGGAGCAGAAGGGAGGAAAGCACAAGGCCGATCTTGAACACCAAGTCAACAATGTTTACGACCTGGTCGATGAAAAGGAGTACAGCAAGAGGGTCTTGGACAGGCAGTGCGATGACTGGATCGTGGATGGTTGGTTCCTAATTATTAACGGAGGAATCTTATTAATAAAAATGTAAACATTTCTCAGAGGGCAGTGGCTATGTCGAGGATGGCCGTGAAATTTTTGATGACGACTTGGATGAAGAGTCGATAGCCAAGCAGTCGAAGAGCAAGGGAGGTGACCGAAAGAGGAAAAGTAGACAACAGGATGACGCTGAAAGCGCCAAGGGTAGTGGCAACATCCGCCACATGCTGGCTAACATGCAGCCAAAGAAGAAGAAGGTGGAGGACGTCAATATTGAAAATGATGAGGTTTTGGGAGAGTTAATGAAAGACCTGGACGCCAAACCCTTAGCACCTGCACCCCCAAAGCCCTTGCAGCGGACACTAAGACCTCCTCAGCCTCCTCCTCCAGCTCCAGCCTCTCGACCTACAAGAGTAGCTGTAAAACCTCCAGTTGTGGTGCCTCAGATGACAATCAAAGATGAGCCTCTGGACGAGGTGCCACCTTCACAATTCATCGAAGACCCGGACTCGATGGATGGCTTCACCGACCAAGATTTTGCTGAGGTTTGATGCATTATATCATAAGTGTTTTGTTAATATTTGAAAATTAATTAATTTTAGATTGATATCAAAGTTGAAGAGAGCCAGCTAATTATCCCAGAGACTCAAGAGTCACAGATGGAAGCTGTAATCGAAGTGAAAGTTTTGAACGTGAAGCAGGATGCACCAGTACCAGTCAAGTATGTTACTTTTTTTGCTCAAAATTACATTAATTCTGGATAGACTTTTTGATAATCTGGTATTAATTGTTATTATTGTTTGTTTGTTCTGGCTCACAAAAGAATTAATTAAACATTAAATTAATTAAAAGCAAACATTCTCTGATAGTGTAAATCTGCAATATGCTTTTTAAAATTATTGTTCCCTTTTTCAGTTCTGAGAGTGAGTGGAGCACCATGACAGAAAATGTTGAAGAAGAGTCCAAGTTGGATGTCTCAACCTCTGAAGTAAAATTTACGGATAGTGGACTGCCGACTGAGAAAGATGATGACGATAATGATGTAGTGCGTATGTTTTGGTGGGACGCCTTTGAAGACCCATTCAAGCACCCAGGTGTGGTGTATCTTTTTGGAAAAGTCAAGTCTAGTATTGGTGATGAAGGGAAATCGGCTTGGGTTAGCACTTGTCTCATCGTCCGCAACATTGAAAAACACGTTTTCCTCCTTCCAAGACAAGTGAGAAATGGAAATATTCTTTGGTTTCTTTCCTTAATAAAAGATTTTTAGTACAAACTGGAGAAAGGCAAGGAAACCGATGAGGAAGTTAGCATTGCTGATGTCTACAAGGAGTTTAGCTCAACCGTTGCCAGCAAGTACAGTATCCTGGAGTTCAAGTCTCGCTCCGTCACCAAAAATTATTGCTTTGATAAGCCAGGAATTCCAATTGAAGCTGAATACCTTGAGGTCAGATCACTAAAATCTGAGATAACTGTAGAAAAGCTAATTAAAATTGGTCTCCTTTCAGGTTGTATATCCAGGAACAAAAGAAAACCTGCCTAGTGACTTGAGTGGAAACACATTCAGTGATGCATTTGGCACAAATACTTCTAGCTTGGAGACTTTTCTGCTGCAAAGAAAGTTGAAAGGGCCCTGCTGGCTGGACATTAAAGGCGCCACTAAAGTGAATAATCCAGTCAGTTGGTGCAAACTTGAGGTAAATTATTTGTTTTTAATTTAATCAAGAAAAATTTGAAATGTCGCATAAATAATTAAGATGACTGTGGACGACTTGGACAATGTGTGCGTGTATGCTGAAAAAAGAGCTCCACCTCCTCTTGTGGCCATGACTCTGAACCTGAAGATCACCGTCAACCCCAAAACCATGCACAACGAAATAGTCATGGCAAGTTGTCTGGTCAGCAATAATTATGCAGTCGACCAGCCACCACCAAAACAAGCATTCCAGAACCACTTTTGCAGTGAGTTTTTTTTAATACTTGCATTTTACATGAAACTGAAATCTTTTTGTTTAGTTGTATCAAAACCAACTGAAGGAAAGTGGCCTTTTGACTATAACACCTCCCTGGGCAAAACGTCAAACTTCAAATCGACAACTTTGCACAAAGTCGAGTCTGAACGAGCCCTTCTCTCCTTGCTGCTGACTCTGCTTTTCAAGGCTGACCCTGATTTGTTGATTGGCCATGACATTGCTAACTTTGACCTTCCAACCCTGATGACTCGACTTTCCATTCTGAAAGTTGAGAATTGGTCCCGCCTTGGAAGGCTAAGAAGAGCTAATAAAATGGATACTCATGGTGTAAGTTTCTTAATTGACTATTGATCTAAAAATCTTTTAATGTTATTTTTTTTTAGAACAAGTCATACCAAGCAAAAACAGCTGTCAGTGGCAGACTTGTTTGTGATATAAAACTGTCGGCTCAAGAATTGATTAAGGCTAGAAGCTATGATTTAGATACCCTGTGTGAGAACATTTTAAAAATATCTGAGAACCAGAGAGCTCGTTACAACGTTGAGGAAATCCGAAACAGTTACAAGTAAATCGGAGATTAATATATTAAAGATTTTCTAAAATCCTGCAAAATTTCAGCACTGGTGCAGCTCTGAGAAACCTCATTTGTGCCAGTATGCAGGACGCAGCTTATATTTTGAAAATCATGACGGAAATCAATGCAATTCCTCTTGCACTGCAAATCACTAACATTGCTGGTAAGTCTGTGATTGCATCAAGGGAGATTTTTTTGTTTAATATAATAATTTACTTAAAAGGCAATGTGATGTCGAGAACCCTCATGGGTGGTCGCTCTGAACGAAATGAGTTTCTGCTGCTCCACGCTTTCAACGAGCGAGGGTATATTGTGCCGGACAAGGTTTATGGCAAGAAACCAGTAGCCGCAGTTGTAAGTTTCCTCATGGACAGCTAGAAAGCAGACTGATATTCCATTTGTTTGTCTAGGAGGAGGATGAGGAAGGCGGAGGTGGCGGCAGCAAGAAGAGCCGCAGGAAGAAGGCTGCTTATTCTGGCGGACTTGTGTTGGAGCCCAAAAAGGGCTTTTACGATTCTTACATTTTGCTGATGGACTTCAACTCACTTTACCCCAGCATTATTCAAGAATACAACATTTGCTTTACAACACTGCTTCTAAACCAAATTCCAAACAAAGCCCCTAAGGTAATTATATTTTTTTTTCAAACTTAATTTTATAATTTCATTTTCTCCAGAAAAAGAATAATGATGATGAAGAAGAACCTGAAGAGGAAAATGACGGATTGGACGAGCTACTAGCTTGCTTATCGTCAGCTCAAAAAGCAGCACCTGGAGTGCTCCCAACTGAAATCAGGAAGCTGGTCGAAAGCCGAAAAGCTGTGAAGGGCATTCTGGCAAAGGGTGTTTCCAAGCCTGAAGAAAAAATGCAACTAAATATTAGACAAATGGCTCTAAAACTGACTGCCAACAGTATGTATGGTTGTCTTGGTTTCTCTCACTCGCGCTTTTACGCCAAGCATCTGGCCGCTCTCGTCACAGGTATAGCTATACAAGTTGCATTATTTTGTAGTTTAAAATGTACTGTTTTATTAGCCAAGGGCCGTGACATTCTGATGAACACCAAGAGCCTTGTGGAAAAAATGGGCTTGGATGTAGTTTACGGAGACACAGATTCCATCATGATAAATACCCGCAGTACAAACTTTGATGAAGTTCAAAAACTTGGATTCAAGGTAATTTTGTACAGCCTAAAAATTCAGATTTGTATTATTTTTGTACAGGTGAAAGCGGAGGTCAACAAAATGTACAGGCAGTTGGAATTGGACATCGATGGAATCTTCAAATATCTATTGTTGCTGAAGAAGAAGAAATACGCAGCTTTGACAATTGCCAGACTGCCAGATGGCAAATTCAAAACTGAGCAGGAGTTGAAGGGTCTAGATATTGTGCGCAGAGACTGGGCCCCAATGGCTGTCACAGTTGGAAAGTACGTTTTTTTTTTAAATTAATAGTATTTTGATTTTGAATAAATCAAATCTGAAAGGTTTGTCGTTGACCTTATGCTTGGAGACGTTAACGCGGATGAACGAATCGAAAAACTGCATGACCGACTCAGCGAGATCAGAGGGCAGTTGGAGAGGGGTGAAGTTCCCTTGCAACAATTGGCCATTGCCAAAACCCTCACCAGACCACCAGAGCAATATTCTGACAAGAAAGGTCTTCCTCACGTTGTTGTTGCCATGAGACTCAATTCAAAAGGAGGCAGAAAACTGAAACAGGGTGACACTGTTCACTATGTTGTCTGCAAAGTAAGTTAAATTGAATTAATGGATGTTACTATAAATTTAATGTGTATACTTAAAGGATGGAAGTGATCTTCCCCCAACCCAAAGAGGCTACCACCTGGACGAAATCAAAGCAAATCCAGCCTTAAAGGTTGACATCGACTATTACCTTGCTCAACAGGTTCATCCTGTTGTCACTCGCCTAATTGAATGTCTAGAAGGAACCGATGCTGTCAGAGTTGCCGAGTGCCTTGGTATTTTTGAGTTATGAAACTAAATAAATATTATCTTACTTGAAAATCGTATATCTAGGTCTTGATGCAACCTTGTACCGCCAAGCTATGAAGCGAGATGAGGACGAGGATGACGGTTACAAGCAAATTAGCCAGTTCTGTCTTTCTGAAGAAGAACGTTTCAAGAATTGTGACAGGTAATGTAGTGAATAAAAATCTTAATAAGGCCTCAATTGTATACTTTTTGCAGCTTTAAATTTAAGTGCAAGAACCCATCGTGTAAATCAACCATCGAAATGCGTTCGGCTTTCTTGGAAAATGCCAAACCACCAAAATTAGTCTTGGAAAAGTGCCCCAACCCTGACTGCACCACCAAGCCCTCTGACAATTTACCATACCTGCAAAATTGCCTTTCCAACGCAATCAGAAGCCACATTGTGAAGTACTACGAAGGCTGGATGGTTTGCGAAGATCCTCGTTGCAAATTTAGGACCAAAGTGGTTGGAAACAAGCTTCAAAAGGGCAACCCAGTGTGCAGAAAGTGTGAACAGGGCGTTATGTACAAAGAGGTATATTATTATTTTTTTGCATTTGTCATTCATTAACTTATGTCTCTAAATTGTATTCTAGTACACGGAACATGATTTGCATCAGCAAATTTACTTCTACAGATACCTTTTCAATCTCAGCAAGTACCCAAATTTGAAACGTAAGCCTAGCCTTTTTTTAAACATTTTTATACTCATGCTGCTGATTGCTTTAGGTGACTTAAAAAAAGATGCTGATGCTTATTATTTGACACTCAAGAACCAAGTCGACAAAACCATTAGCTTGAGTTCATACTGCATTTTGGATCTCACGGACATTTTCAAAAAGCTGCAAGTAAAGAAGTCGGCACTCCACAAAACTTTGTTATAAGGGTTGGTATATAGCAGAAAATAGGTGAATTTTTACCTTTTTAAATCACCAATTTTAAACACAATTTATTTTTCCTACGCTGATGACTACATGAATATGAACTACGGCATTGTATAATAAATTAAATAAAATTCTCGCTTAACGTAACATAAGTTAGATGTCTTCCAAATCCCAAGAGTTGTCATCACTGACGGGTAAACTTAAATCTGCTTTGGCAATCTTTGAATTGGCTCTATTGGATTCTCCGATTTTGAATGTGCTGCGAGTAAAATAATGTTAAAAAATGAGGATTTTTGGAATAGTGAGATAAACTACTTCTTCAAATTAAAATCTATCTCCTTTTCGAGCTCGTCTAAGTCTAGTTCAGGTTTCTCGGATGATTTGGTGATACTGAAATTCCATTTAATTAGTTTTACCAAATAAGAAATATGGAAGCCAACCTTGAAGAAGTAATGAATGGGTTGAAATTTCCTTGCCCAATTTTTTTAACTTCAATCTTAGTCTCTGACATTGTTGCTTTAGAGAGGGTATCTTCGTCCCAAGTATTATTTTCTTTGTTTTCATCTTCTTCCTCATCAAAAGTAACAAATTTACTACTTGGCAAAGATTGTGCACGGCGCATATCAGTGTTTGTGCTGCGTTGCTCATTTGCCTTTTTTTCATTTAAAACTTCACTGCTTGCCCTCAAATTGCTTTTGCTTCTAGAAGAAAAAACAAACAAATTTAGGAAAAACATGTTTAATTTTAAATGGCAACATGCATGGAGATTAAATATATTTTTATTAACAAACAAAACAGTCATGCAATAATAACACAATTAATAATTTTATTACGCCTTTAAGATGCTTGCACCTGGAGACTCGGCACCTTTCTTCACAGGTGTCGAGGTAAAAATCTGTGTGTCGGATTTGGACTTGTTCCCTTTCTCTGTATTGCGGTCAGTCTGATTGTATTAAAATTGAGTTAAACTAGGAAATTATTACTGTTATATCTCTTGGTCAGCTTGGCAAAGAATCCAGGGTGCTGCTTCAATTTGCTTGGTTTCACATTGGAATCATTGCAGATTTCAGCCATATTTTCTTTTGCTTTTATTTCCACTTTTTTCTCAATACTCTTCCTTATCTTCCAAAAACCACTAAATTGCTAAAAGAAGGCATGAATTGATTATTTAACCTTTTTTTAACTATAAAGTTTGATTCCTACCTTTTCCGAGTCTTTGCGCTGCTCCTTCATTTGGTTGCTCACAGACAGAAACTCCTTGCGGTTCAAACCCTCGTCACTCAATAACCCAACCGAATTGAACTTTTCTTGAACTTGAGTTTCAACTTCGTTTTTCAAGGACTCAATCAAAACTGGATTCTGTTGGATCGCTTCCTTCATTCTAATAAATTAAGTAAAATATTATTTAACTATTTTAACGATTCAAGCAATTTAATAAATTTATACTCCTTTAAAGTAGCGTCAATGTCGTCGCTCTTGTCTGTTGTTTCCTCTTCACTGCCACTGGTGCTTTCCATCGTTTCCTGGTTGTAGGCGCCTGTTGCTGATTTCGGTCTAGAAGGCACCGTTTTTGGGGTGCACAGAACAAAATTCTGGGGTTTCTGTTGGCTTGTTTCTTGGGCAGCACTGCTTTCTTCAGTCTCTTCAGCAGTACTCTCGTCAAAAATTTGGTCGGATAGCAGAGCTGTGAAAAAACAAAAAAACTCCAAGTTTTCATTTGGAAAAAAAAGTGTATTATATAAATACGAGCAGAGGGAGTTGGTGCTTTGAACTCCAGTTTTGAAACTGTCGTAGTCATTTGGCGCTGGAGTTTTTTATGTCTGGCTGCAGGAACAGGCGCATCAAAAGTTTGAGGACGCTCAATAGGGAGTGTCTTTGGCTCATTTTGTATCTTTCTTATTTCAGACCACCGCAGATCCTCTGATTGAATCGATCAATTTTTATAATCATTCTTCTTCTTATAGAGCATAATTTACCTCGCTCTTGCATTTTGATGAGTTGATCCATCACTTTTGAGTTTTCTGATCTGAACCAGTGTTCCTGCTGGTCGAGCTTTTTTTGCCACAAATCATTCATTTCTTCTTTTATGTCCTGAATTTTGACCTTAATTAAAATTGAAAGTCAGTGCAAATGATCTGAATTACACATTAAAGTTACCTGAAGAGCATTTGAGGTCTGCATTTTTGGAATGTTTTCAATATTTAAATCACTTTTGCTCAAATTAGTGGCAAGGTCTGCCAGGCTTTGCTACAATAAATTTTTAATATATTTCAACTGACAAAAAAATAAAAAATAAAATTACTTTTAGCTGCAGCTGGAAGTTAGCTGTGAGATCTGCAATTTCGGCCTGATGTCTGGCTCGTTGCTCGGCTTGGGACTTTTCGATTTCAGCCCATAAGGCTTCCTCCCTCTTCAGATATAATTCACTCTAAAATAATTAAATGAGATCATTTATCTTACAACATGAATGCAAAATTACTTTATTATCCTGAAACGATGTAAGAGCAGCCTCCTTTTCTTTGACAAGATCCCTTCGGAGGGACTCAATCTCAGCCTTAAGCTCTTGCAGCATTTCTTTGGATTTGTCAGCAGTTTCTATTTCAATGCTGTGCCTTCTTTGGATGTGACTTTGCAAGAACTCTTGACTAGAATAAACTTTTCTGCATTGGGAACACTGTTAAAGAAAAAAAATTATAAAAGAAAAAAATTTAATTTAATAAATAGCTAAAAATACCTCATAGAATGAGTCTAGAATTTTATTTTCCTTTTGCTCTGTCAATAACCTTTTTCGTTTCGTTTCTTTTTTCAACTTATCCTTCAAACTCCTATTTTCTTTTTTTGCTGCCTGCAATTCCTGTGAATAAATAGTAAAAATAAATCAAAAAAAGTGAGACTGAATTATATGTATGTATAATATATTATTATTATCAGAAAATTTTCAGTCACAAATTAAAAAATAATTTTTCACCTTCAGAACTTCTTCGTGGACATTTTCCAGCGCTGACAAACTGTTTGCGAGAAAATCTTGGCAATAGAGACAGTAATCAACACACAATTGGGCAAGGTGCAGAAGTTTCGAAAGGCCAGGGTCGACCCCTTTCAGATCACTCAGGTCGCAGTTGACTAAAGTGCCAACATATTCCTGCAAAACAGAGATGTCCAGGTCTCGAGCGACCCTGTCCAAGTCTAAGTGCGCTGAAATAAAAGAGATTTGAACGCCCGTACAAGAATAATAAGTAAAAATAATAATATTACCAATTCGAGTAAGATCTGCTTTCTCTTTGTACGATTTGAAGGTAAACCCTGAATCTTTGACACCTTTCACAAACTCGAAATTCGTCAACCTGCTCGAAAAATGGGTTGACATTTTCGGGAATTTTGGAAATTCGAATCCGAGTGTCAACAAAGAAAACGTGAGAAGTGTCAAATTTGAATATTAGCGCGCATGCCTGCCGAATTGTTCGTAAACAGTTTTGAAAGCTTCCACATTCCGCTCACAGGTGCCTCCACTCGCGGCTTCAATGAATAATAAAAAAGGATTAATAGTAAAAATTACGTCACGGGCAATGTTATTTTGTGCGTGAAGCTGCCGGAGTCCGAGTAAGTTACGAAAAGTTCATTGAATTTTACTCGTTGCGTAATCAAAACACTCGGCCTTCGATAGTCTTATCACTTCTGTCTTTTTGTCCCAATCGTCGCCCGAAAAAGCAGCAGAAAACGTTCGTTTCCGAGGTTTGCCCTTAGCCGGAGGCATCTCAAAAACAGGCCCTTCCTGGACCGAAGGAGTGTTTTGACCTTCGCTCCAAGTTCATTCGTAACCTTTTAGTTGTGTTTTTGGAATGCTGCGCGCAACCTTCAAACTGCTGTCGTTGCATAACACCTGCCGCCGAATCGCTTTTGCTATTTCTAACCCTAAAAGTTGGCCGATTTCTGCCAGTTTAATAACCATGGGCAATCAGTCTTCCTCGGTTAACCCGCCTGTCCGTGGTAAGGAAAAAGATTTGAATTTCAAACTTTTCATTTCAATGTGACAGAAGTGCGGTTTTGGTCCTGAAACCGCACGTTGTTTTTTATGTGGGTCACGCGCTTTTATATAACAATAATACGCGTACTTGAATATTTATTCTCGCCATACAAGGAACGTCTTTGCCGGAGTCTAACCTTGTTCGGAGTCGTTCATGTTGTTATTAATCGTCGTCGTCTTAATTTGCCTTTGAAAACGTCAAGGTGCCTCTTATTCCGCTCATTCGTTCACAGACTGCCTGGCCGAGCGCACGGATTATATTCGATTACATACAATTTTATTCTTCTTCTGCAGTTGAATTATTTCCAAACTTTTGGCTAAAATGCCTGTTGTTTTAGGAATGGCTTCGGAAAATGAGGTCTTTTCCAAAGAAGAGCTCAAGAAGAGACTCACTCCGATGCAGTATCACGTCACTCAGGAAAGAGGAACTGAGAGGTATTGAAATTATAAAGATGAAATTGTTTTAGTGTCATTTTTTAATTAAAATTAATAGTTTTGATTTAAAAAAAAATCCATTATGAATTTTTCAACGATTTCGGCAATTAAAATTAAAAATATTCTTAATTGTTCCAGAACAATCTAAAAGACTTTTTTAAGAAAAATATTTTTATTAATAAAGAAAAAATGTTTAGACACATCTCTTTAAATTCACTATTCCTTTCTAAAAAAATTTAATTTTTGAATTGGTTTTTTAATTATTTATTTCATTATTTTGTTCATTCCAGAGCTTTTACCGGCAAATACAACAAACACAGTGAGGGGGGCACTTATTATTGTGTCGTCTGCCATGAATCCCTATTTTCCTCCGACACAAAATTCGAGTCCGGCTGCGGGTGGCCTGCATTCAACGACGTCCTTGACTCAGGCAAAGTCAAACTGACGAAAGACACATCCCACGGTGAGCATAATTATTGACCTTAGTAAATTGGCCCCTGTGTTTCTCCCAATGTGTGGCACGAGAGCATGGTATTTTTGTAAGTCTTCCACATGTTACGCCTTTTACATTCCTTTTGCCTCTGCTAGAAAAGTACTGAATGGCCAGAAATGGAATAATAATATTAATTCCAAGAATATTAAATATTATTTTTTTTTTAAATAAATTTAAAATTATTCACAATCGTTCACAAATACTAAAAGTTTCCTGCAGTATTTTCAGAAATTGCCAAAAAATGAGATTTAAAAAAAGCATTCTAATATTTAAGGACACTAAGAGGTATTATTTATCAAAAAGCCCTTTAAGCGTTTTTTTTTTATCTTGTTTTCTAAAACTGTGCAATTTCAAGATTTTTGCATGAAATTCATTTTTAATCTCTTAATAATCTTCATAAAAACAATAATTATCCTTATCGTGTTTGTTTTCGACTGACAATTAATTCATAACCCTGTTTGCTCATTGATCAACGTTATTATTTAAATTATAATGTACTTGAAAGTTGAAAGTTTGTAAGAATTAATTTTTTTGTTCCTGTTAATTTAAAAAAAGAACTGAAAAATCTAAATTTTCAGTTAAAAAATTATTAAGTAATTTAAAAAATTGGCTTGCAGGACTCAGAATTTTATTGGAAATTTAAAAAAAAAAACATATAGCTTTTTTTATTCAAAAATTGCTGGTAACATTTCTTTTAATTTTTTTTTGTAATATTTTTCTACAAAGTTTTAATTTAACTCGAGTATAATTGAGAAGCCCATAAATTTCAATCCTAGTTGACTCTTTTTGTCAAACCGATGACCCTGGTCAATTATTATTTACCAGAACATGTAATTTTTTAATTAACTCTTGAATTAGTGGTGTTGCATGCAGTGTAGTAGTTTTGATATGGGGGATTAGTCGAAAGATTCTTTTGGTTCTGACGCAAAATATTTTGTTCTCTTTTTTTCCTTCTCCTCACCTGGGGGTGAATGGTGCTCACACACTCTCAATTGATCCCTCCCGACCCCCAAACAAAATGAAAAACAGTCGGTGCCAATCTGCTGCTTCTCATCGCCAATCCAGGCATGGTGCGCACCGAGGTGAGCTGCCTGAAGTGCAACGCCCATCTCGGACACGTCTTCGGAGACGGACCGCGGCCCACCGGCAAGCGTTTCTGCATCAACTCGGCCTCCCTCGACTTCAAGAGCTATGCCGACCAGAAGAAGGAAGCTTCGTAAAAGTCCAACAAGGAAAAATAAAATTGCAATCAATTTTACATATTCGTCCAAAAATTTAAAATGTATAATTTAAATCAGATTGCAATTCAACTTGTTTCTTTGAAATCAGCATAAAAATGATCACAGTTTATTTTTAACAACTTGTACTTAACCAGCAATTAACTGATGAACGAAAGGCAAAATATTGAAACCCCGGCAAACGTTTTTAACGCAACGCTAGTCATATTTTACAAGATTAGGTGTGTACGTGATTTGAGATATTTTAAGAAACGAATGTGTTGCTTTGATTAATTAGTTAGATGTCTTGCTAATGGCCTCCTTTTTAAGGAAATAACTATTTATTGCTTTGTATACGGCCAGTGGAGTTAGGTGGAATCATAGAAGGTATTTACGTTTTTGTTCCCATGCCTTTGGGCTGGTATATTTTTTTCAGGCTGTCTAATTGCTGCACTAATCAAGCTCTAAAATAATCAGGGAATGTAAAGACCAATAAAAAATCTGCCTAAACAGCCCTGAGGTTTGATAAATCAATTTTTGTTGCTTGTTGAATATAATGAATTATTTTGGAAAAGTTTCACTAATTACGGACATTGGCTCTCTACCTAATTTTATATCATATTAATTCCATTGTAAGTGTCCTGTTCCTAAACAAGCACAAATCGTTACTAAGCACTTGTATCAAACTCAGTAAGATTTTTACTGCGCAATTTTGTCAAGTCCTTGCCAATTTAATATAAATGTAAAATAAAAAACTTATGTCTTGCTTTGTGATGATAAACTACTCTGGAAGTGATACTTTTTAAAATATATAGAAGTGTGGTAATCTGATAATGTCTTATTACATGCACAAAAAATAAAACAGAAAAACTTGAAAAACTCATTTCTAACTTGAATAACTTTCTGAAATTTTAAATGGATTTGTAATAATTTGAAAACCTAAAACTTCTGTATGCGAAGATGATCTGATCATATATATTTTTAACCTTTAATAAAAGTCTCACAATTTTTGAAGTGAATTGTTTTAATTAAGAGAAATACAATTACAAAAATATTGAAATACAACTTAAAGACGAGAGGTTAAAAAAATAGCTCAAATTTATGCAACCCGCTCTCCTTGTTTGCCCATACAGTTGCATAGCTTTGAGGTTTGTTTGCTTAATAATTTTATTTTATTTTATGATTTTTTTAAATATATTATGATTGATAATAATTTTGGTTCACCATGTGTCGTTCTTTTTATGAAAGCAAACACAAATAAAATAAGATAATTCGTTATAATAATAAAATTATCATCATGGTCTGGATGGAAAACAAGACCCAAGGCCCATTCCATAAGCAAACAATTTGGCTGATAATTCAGCAAAACAAGAGGCAAGTTTCGTGATCTTTAAGCAAACATTTTGTAGAAGTTTTAGAGACGTAAGAAAAATTAAATTATTCTGATTTAAAAAATTCTTCTGCTCTATTGATTGTGAGAAAAAGGCAGACAAATTATTGTCATTTATTTTTAGCTTAACTCTTATTTGAGACTTAAATTAATTTGTAAACCATGTTACAATTTTTTTATTGAAAAAAAAACTGCCTAAATGGTCAAAGCCGTGAGCAGAGGCCATCCACCTTACCGCCTCTGTGCACTCGTCATCAATTTTTTAACGACGGCTAAAGGAAAATTCCGGCGGTCCAGATGTAATTTGCGAATTCGGCTCCTCGCCTCGCTCTCGTCGATCTTCATAAATTGGTGCATGATTGATGGGGTTAGTATTCGTTATTGCATATAAAAGTGCTTTCCGCTCGCCTGGTCCACTCTGTATGGGCACATTACGTGACCAGGTAAGGTCCCTGAACTCGCGAGAGCGCGCGGCAGTAAAAAAGCTTGAAGCTGACCACTATACTCAGAAGCTCTAGAGCTGATTTTTTTCCTTTTTCTCGCCGCGGCAGTTTTCATTCCACCGAGCAATTAATAATAAAATGCTTTGAAAAACAAACGCATAAATAATTAATAAATGCAAACTGAATAATTTTCCCAGTGAAGCGTGGCAGAGCAAGTCCGAGTGCATATTATTTTTTTTTTTTAAAAATCGTCACAAGCGCATATTTGGCTCATCTGCTGATGCGTTGGAGAGAGAAAAGAGCCCGTGGGTTGGTTTACTTTAACTTTTAAAAAGCACTCTCTCGCCGTGATTATTTATTCATTTAATATGTACACCTGTACCACCACATGCATTGAGTACACAAGAACTTTACTCGCGGCCAAGACTTGCTCAGCAGATATGGCATGGTTTAAAAGTGTGTGTGTGCATACGACTAGCTCTCGGCCTTATAATAACACCGCATTCTGGTCGTCCCACTCGCAGCAGGTCATGTTATGCCTTGGGCCCCGACTGGATTTTCAAGTGTGCGGCTCCGCTTCGCAGGCAGTCTTGCGACTGCTGATCTCAGTAAATCCTCCGCATGTCAAGATAATTGTGATTGATTTTATCATTTCCTTCATTCCAAAAACTTAACTGGTTTTTTGATATTAAGCCTCTGAAAATTTTCTTAAAAGTTACAAGACTGTTTAAATGAATAATTCTGTGATTGTTTAGTCCATCAAACAAACTATCTAAAAAGTTTTATAATGAAGCTCTTTATTTTTTTTACATTGTATAAATATAAATTCCTGGTAATACGTAAATAAACGTTATTTAAATTTTAATTTTAAACCTGTTAAAATTATTCAATTTTATATCTACTGAATAAAAATGTAGACAAATTTATGGAATAAAAATAAATTTAAAAAAAAAAATATTATCAATTATGCAACAAATTTTACAAATTGGATCAAAAAATTAATAAAATATTTGAATATAAATAATTTTTTACAAAACCTTTCTTACTTGTTTTTTTTTAAGGAGCAGGAGGCTTTTATAAGTAGCATCATTTAAGGTGCCTCAGACTGGAAGTAAGGCTCAGGAGTGAAGAATGTTAAATATTTTGTATTATTAACGGATAATTTTAAATTACTACTTATCTCGCACGCCTCACTCCCTACCCTACAAGTCCCTATAAGCGCTGATCATTTTCTCAACGGCTTAATTACAATAATTATGACCGCGCTCATAAAAAACCTTATTCTGGACACAAGGCCCTTTGTTGCGGCCGGTGAGGGATTAAAACAATTATTATAAGAGGATACTCTATAGAATAGGGGACTGGCAATAAACCACTATGTGCAGTGTTGAGTGTGCATTGGTAGGTACAAGGGGAGCACTGCAGCCAGGTGGGGGGGAGGGGCAGGCGAGGGGAATCGCTGGCAGGTTGGCGGAGAAAGAAAGTCAGTCTGCCGTCTGTGAGTCAGTCAGTCGTTGTGTCTCGTGTGAGTGACCTTTTAGTGCGGTTTCTTGGACTCGCCCCTGTTTTTTTCACAATTCGTGGATTTAATTTTGCATAAGTTTGGATAACCTCGACAAGTGAAGGTAATAAGATTTTATTTAATTAATTTTATGTGGTGAAAATTCAGTTTTTAAAATTGTAATGTTAGTGTTATATGAATTGAAACTTAATTGTATTGAAGCAAAATTTTTGAAAATAATATTTTCTTTTGAAATATCGGAATATTATGACTCATAAAATGTGAACGGAAATTCTCAAACGTCATATTTGATTTTCATCCCGACAACAAAAACATTTTTATGATCGATGCCATTTTTGATAAAAAGAGCATTTTAAGCCGGCGCACTTCCTAAAACGCTGCAAAGCTCTAATTCCCTCTTAATGCCCGCATTGTTTTTCACGGCGAATTCTGTTTACACACGGCGTATAAATATTGTTTTAAGTAAACACCAGCAAGGAGAGATAAATAGAGTAATAGATAACGTGTATGGGGGCAGGATCATGAAAAATTTAGTTGACGATTTTCGAGAAAGAATCCTTGCTTGAGATTTCATCACCTTGCATTAGTGTGTCAAAATCGGGAGAGAGAACACGTAAAAGAGGAAAAAGGTGTCTCACGTCCCCAAGCTCTAGAGAAAAAAATTGGGTGTAGGCTCAAGAACGAAAACACACAGGTCAGTGTTGTGCAGGATCTATTGGGAAATTGAGCTTTGTGCTTATATGTATTTTTCGGTCGGTTGGGTAACCTAAGCTTGCCTATTGGCTCTGAACGACTTTGAAATTTATGGGGCTAGGAATGGAGCAACCAAAGAGTTGTTGATATTGGTAGTGTTTTTTTTTAAAGCGAGGTAGACTCAGGCCTTTTATTAAAAAAAAATTATAATTTTAAAGGAGATTTTAATTAAAAGAAATATTTGAATTTATAGGATTTTTTTAATTTTTGTGAAATGTAAAAAAGGGATCAAAAGATAATTAATTAATATTTAGTTGCTAAAATTAATCGATTATCGTTTCAAGGGAATACTCGGAGAGATTTTTTATTTATTAGCAATGACACCTAAGATCAGGGATACAGGTGTGATAGGATAAGAGCATTAAATTCGATGACGTTCTCTCTTTTCAAGGGACAATTTAATCGCCTTTCATCCCACAAGTCCTTCGTCAAGGACAACCCTGTGCTCTTTTAATTGTGCGCCAACTCCTTTGCATAAAAAAGCCTTTCGACTGCCTCTCGCGTTTGATCGCGCCCTGGGAGGTTTTGAGATGTTCCGACGATTCATTTTCGCCAGCCAAGCATGCAAATCTCCGCAAAACCGAAAAAGTGCTTCTGAATTTGCACAAACGGTGATTAGCGAGGCTGAGCGCGATTTGGTCTGCTTGCGCTCCACAAAAAGAACACGGCAAACAAGACATGGAGAACAGTCAGTACCGACTAGAGATTTTTATTAGCCAAATTTGAATATATCTGCTAATGCAAATGTTAGCGCGCATCGTTAAAGTAATAAAGAAGCACAAAAAAAATTATGTTGTCAAATTCTTATATACCATTTAATATGCCAAATAATTTCAATCTATAAATTTAAAAATTAAATTTTAATTAAATTTTAGTATTACACGGAATTTATATTTATAAATAAAAGATAATTAAATTTGGGAATAATAATTTTCCTAAAAAATCTTTAGAAAGTAAAATGAAAGTACAAGAGTGCATTTTAGATCAAGAGCAATTCAAAGAGGATTAAATTTAATGAAGAAATTCTATTATTTCTTGTGACAAGTCGTAATTGCAAATGTTTCCAAAAGTATGTCGTCACGATTTCGCAGCAAAAAGCTTTTGTACCCATCACGTTTTACAATTCAAATCTTCAATGGTGTTAAAGAGCTTTAATTTGGGCATAAAAACTGCCCCTTTTCTTTTCCTCGTCTCTTTTGTCGGTCGGCGGACGTCTGCAGCTTTTGGCGAAACACACTTTTCAAAGCGATTATCATTCGCACATGGCGTCCACAATAAGGAAGAAAATGGTATAAATTTATTTGCAAAACAGCAGCTGCGCCGGGTTCGTACAAAGGAAGAGGATGGGAGCCACTTTTAAGAATTCTTTCAAGCAGACGCTTTGCTAGTGAGATTTTCGTATGCATGCGGTAAGAAGGTCACACTCTTTGTTGTTATTTTCTCGGTGCATCTCAGCATGCGGATTGTGCTGACTGGCGTTATTTAATTACCTTGCCATACCAGCAAAGAGGCCACACTCTTTATAAAACGCACATATACTTTTCTCTCCCTCGTATATAAATAAATGGTGTTTGCGGATGTGAAATTAATGGACGATTTGGCAAAAGTGGCAGGTGACTGCACGTCTTCCTTTTTCATTTGAAAGTTCTGATTGGCACGCTGCCTGAAGTGAAAATGTATATGAATCGAATTTAATATCTTTTAAACAGGATTTGAATTGCGCTCGTGGGAAAATGTTTAAGTAGACTTCTGAAAAAGCCAAAAGATTTAAATAAAAACTCACTTTTATTTTAAACTTCGTACATATCCTGTTATAATTTTTTCAAATAACCTAAATTTCTACTTCTTTTTGGATGGCTCACAATTAGGCTTTGAGTTTAAAAGTCCGTATGGTATCACTCATCTTGATGTACCACGTTGATGTTATACCATTTTTTATTATTTGAATATGGAGCAGTGAGCGTAGGAGCGACTCCTCCGTTCTCGATCCAACGTGTGTGTCAGCGTCGCCGACCTGGCCAACGGGCGACTCCATAATAAGCAACTTGACACCAAATTGTGTATAATTTCGCGGCACGCCCAGACGATTCTATTTAAAATTGTAAAAAATGGGCTCCCGGAGCAGGAACAACAGTTACCAAACCGAGTGGATAATTTGTAACAGAAGAGGCCCTCAAAAAAAAAAATAAAGGCGAAGAAAAATAGAAGTAGTAAGAATATTTAATTGTAAAAAATCTTACAAAAGAACATGCAGAATGCAAAAACTATAATATTTAAAGATTTTTCCGGATTTTTCAGCAAAACCTATTCGTTTCAAAGTTATAATCTGAAAATTTTAACTTTACAAAATTTTTATTCATTTTTAATACAATGTGAACGGAACAAAGATGCTCGTTTCTATATTTCGGCCAAAATTTGCAAACAAGTTTTGCCCACTCTCACAGACACTACTTATTTATTAAATTGCGCATATAAACTTCAAACAACCTCAATTCGCAGCGGATAATCAGCCTATAATCAAGGCGACTGACTAGACGCGTAATTGACGTGCATTTTCTTGCCGCCACGCCATCGATCCGCGAGCAAAGTGTGAAATTCTCACACATGTGATTGCACTTTCATGTGCAGACACGTAATCGGAAGAAAATGCACCTCGCCTCCTCCAATGCGCAAAAGGCAAACAATATAAATCGCAAAGAGATTTATGGCGCTGCCTGGGCTGCGCTCTTTTGACTCTAGGAAGAAAACTGGAAAGAAACAATATGCAAAAGGTCAACGCTCGAGTATGCATTTTAAATGCATCCAGGGAGTGCTTTATTGCACCTTTCCCGGCGCAGCGGGATGATAATTTATAGATAATTATTATTTGTCTCTTGCCGGCGGTGCTGCAGCCTGGTGGAAAGGTTAATTTTAATTGGCACCTCCATTTGCCATCCGACCTCACATTACTTAACTCGTTTTAATGCCAGATTTCGTGCACCGGCACTGCTTAATTGCATAATTACTTGAGGCATTTTGCACTTAATTTCGACTGCTGAGAAATCGACGGATTATTTTTGTAATTAAGTAGCTGCTTGAAAGTTCACGCGTGATTTGCATGCAAGTGTGATTGTGCATGTTGTTACGAGATGTACCGTTTTAATTGAAAAATCCAACCCTTCACCTCTTAGAAAATCGCACAATTTGCAATTAAAAGTGGATTTTTCTCACGTTTATTCGATTTGAAAGGAGTTTTACAGCAGAAAATTGTCGGTATAAAATAAAGTCATTAGAAATATACGATTCCAATCCAAAAGTATGCATTGGATGAATAAATTGCTTTACTGCAATGCCGTGTTAATTAAGACCCTACACTTGATATACGTTTCAAGTGCACTCAATCGGAAAGAAGCGTTTAATAAGTGATACTTGAAAGTGGCTATGCAGTGCAGGGTCAGCATCCACTTTTAAATAGTAAAGGAACTACAGAGGCAGAAAAATGTGACAAGTACGGCCTTGATTATCTTCTCTGGAATAAATTTGAATTTAGTTTGAATCGGTGAATTTTTGTAATATCAATCAGCAGAGAAAAAAGCTAATCAAGTGTACAAGAGAGGAAAACAAAAATAATCAATTTTAATTTAAGTGTTTAAAAAGGGATTATAGATTTTTGAAGATGAAAGTTTAAAATTTGAATTAAACCTACAGTAATTTTCCAGGATCTCAAGGAAATCAACATTTTCTTAAGAGACATTAAAAACAATTTTTTATTCATGGAATGAACTATAAGACAGAAATTTTGGCGCAGACCACTTTTTTGCACATTATTCCGCGTCTGAATGCCCACTGAGAGAGCGAATCGGGGCGAACGGAATGTGAAATGTGTGGGAGCAAGAAGTTCGAATAAAGACACTGGACAACCTTGATGGCCAATGAAAGTTCCCTCGGCGGTGAGCCGTTGATTTAATTGTATTTAGCAATACCCTTGGCTCTCGGTGAGTAAAATGCTTTCTGACGCGCGAGCATGAAATTCGTGATTTTCCCAGAAGACGACACGCAACCGAGCTAGGGAATTAATCCTTTCTCGAAGTGAACGTCAACAATCTCAAAAGAGCGAGTCCCTCTCTCGCCGCCGGCAAATCGCAATAATGGCAAAGTGCGCTTGAACGGATTCGGTGCTCGCTGTATGAATATTCAACGTTTTGTATAGAAGCCTTTATTAGAGCAACGAGCTGGTGATTTCATTGCGCGACGCCCACACTGCAAACGGAAGTCTTCGCTCCGCAGAGAGGGGACTGCCGTGTGCCGAAGGGTGTGGTGCACTTGCTTGGAAAATTGCTCGCTTAATGGACATGTGTTCGCGTAGTATGAGATATTGCTCGCGCTACTTTATGTGCCGACGGCTGACCATATATGTTTATTGGCAAGGCACGAATTCGGCTAAAAAATTACAGCGTGAGAGTCTCATTTTAGAAAAAAATAAAAAAAAATCGCAAAAAAACAGCACCGGTAATAAAATGATTGCTATTGGAAGGGTAATTTCTTTGTTGCTAATTATTTTACATTATTTAACGAGGAAACAGTAAAAGTCACTTAAGATAAGATACAGTTTGAATAATTTAAATCACAGATAGGTGAATAAAATAAACGTAAATTATGAAAAAATTTACTGATTAATGTATTAAAAACTAAGTTGATACAAATATTACATGTAAATTATCTTAATTTTTAATTTATTAACAACTTTATTAATTTCATATCAAATAAAAATTTAATTATAAAGTATATATAGTGGCTAAGATTTAAAATTATGTTTTAAAGTAATATTAATTACAAGAATTTTTCCTTTTTTTTCATCTTATTTAATTAAATATAAATTTTAAAGCATTCTTCACTTTGTTTTGCTATCGCACATGCGTAATTACTTGACTTTGATCCTGAAAATGACATTTTTATAATCCCTCTAATATCACAGATTCTCCAACAAATATTTATTCGATAACCCTTATCAATTAAAAAAAAATAGTTCTTCTTGGTTATAAATTGCATGAATGGCACACCTAACAATAGAAATACAATTTTTGCTAACAAAACTTTCTTCTCTTTTGTTCCAGCATTGTACCAACTTTTGACGCTCAACTATGAATACGTAAGCGCTGAGGCGCAGCCAAGACTGCCAACCCCATCTGGTCATGTCTGACGAGTTCGATCAGCTTCCCGTCGGCGGCGGCACGATGGGCAAAGAGGTGAAGAAATCCTCGTACTACGTGTGGTTCCTGGGCGCGCAAGAGGCCAAAGGACTTCGCGGCGAGGAGTACATTCGGCCCATCGTGCGCAGCCTGGTGCAGAAGGAGCGCGAGGTGGAGCCGTTCAAGGTGACGCTGCAGGTCAGCATCAAAGGGCTGAAGATCGTGCAGAACGTGCCCGGCTGCAAGGACATCGTCAAGCACTTCATCCCGCACCACGCGGTCACGTGCGTCGTGCAGGAGCCGCCGCCCAACGACGACATCGTCTCCTGCATTTTGCTCATCTTCAACCCGGCCACGCGGTGTCCGGTGCACGTTCACTGCTACCGCTGCGACTCGGTCGAAACCGCCGCCATCTTGCGAGACCAGCTCGAGACGTTGATCGAGCGCCCGGACAATCAGAAAAAGTTCGGCGAAATCGAGTCCAGACTCCAGGCGAAGGGTCTGCTGAGCCGAAGACTTCCTGCAGGAGGTTCGGATGGACGCAGCAGCAGCACCAGGGAGTCCGAGTCATCAGGGTCTTCTTCCGAAAGGGGAGGCGAAAGGGTGACCAACTTGTACGACTCTCTGGCCGCCGAGCTCCGCGAAAAGCTGCACGGGGTCAAAGGGCCCCTTCTGCTGCCCCCGAGGGACTACGACACGGTGCACCGCACCAGGGGCAACCTGACAGGAATCGAACTGCGGCGGTGCAGAAACGCGGCCATCGTTGGCGACGGCGTCAGTCCCGTGTCCAGCGGCGGATCCAGCGGCATCGGCTCGGACGACGCGCCGCCCAGCCCCAAGGAATTCCGCGTCAACAAGGTGGAGCAGCCGGTGCGAAGGACGCACCTGAGAAAGAGTGCCCCTGCTGGCTACCCACCGGAACCGCACAGCTCTGGTGAGTTTCCTTTTATTTCTCATTTTTTTCGCGACTCGTGAGACCGGACTTGAATTTCTGAAGGTCTGCACACGGACGGACATTTGTATACAAAGGATTGCGTAATTAAAAGTGTACATCTTTTGGTGCGTGAATGTTCATTAAGACTCACGTTCGCTAATTCGAAGAACAAGCACGGAGGCGCGGGATTTGAATTTAATTACACACAAACCTCGCTTAATGAGTAATGACAGGTATATGTACTTTTAGTAATTCTCTCACCAATGACATTTGCGATTTTTTTTCTGTGCCTCTCGAAATGACGCAACGAACTTTTAAAACACTGGCCAGGAAGTTTTTATGGCTTTTAATGCAAGCAAATTGCGCAGTTGCTAATTTTTATTGCTCGTGTTGTGTGAGCAAAACTCATTATTTGCTGCAGAAGTTTTCTCGGGTGGGTTTATTGCATCGCGCTTGACTCTCCAAAACAAGATAAACTGCTCAACCGATAAGACTTTTTCACTTTTTTTTTAGTAAACAACGGGATTGTCACGCAAGCGATTCCAACTGCGAAGTTTCAAAATTTCGTTTATCAAGACTAAAAATATTTGACTTAATGATTTGTGACAAAATGCGATACACTCTGATATTTTTAATTAGACTCGCGACATTGCGAAAAAAAACTAGTTCTCTCTATCGAGATGAAATAGAAAAAAATAGATAATTGTGTGAGAATGGGGTTTTTACACGTTGCGAGTTCCTCTGAGGCCCTTCAAGTACGCGAACTAAATACAATTGTAAATTGTAAACCATCGAGTGCGAATCACCGTCGCCAATTAAGTTGACCAAGTTATGAAGATAATTATCGGATTTAATTGCATATTCTGCTCCTTTTAATTGTTGTTATATAGATTCTGAATAAGAGCAATTAAAGTGAATGAACTACTTGCAAGCAGAGCAATTGCTCGTCGCATGTGCGCGCAATTTTTTCATTTCTCTGTCATTGCATAATTGAAAATGAATGCACACGGCACTTGCTGCTCACTCGAACGAGAAGAATTTTCTCACACACGCCTTAATGTTGTGACAATTTCTTAATCCGAAGTGAGTGTGATTACAAATTATTATATTATTGTTTTTTGGCAATTAACCGATTTAAATGTGCTTTAAATGTAAAAGATATTTAATTTTTATCTTGCTATCTACAAAGAAATGAAGGAATTAACTGTATATTTTTGTTTCTGTTTTAATCAATTGTAACATAGAATATTAATAGAAATTAAGTAAATTTGCATTGGTATAATAATTTTTTATTTATTTTATTCATTTAAAAATAAAAAGGTTTAAATTTAAAATAAATAAAGTTTAAATTTATAATCAATTCCTATAATAAAGATAAAAAAATTAATGTTTTATTTTTCATTAAGTAAGATAAAAAAACATTTCACTCATTGTGAGATATGCTTTAGACACTACTCTTCATTTCTATTTTAAAATGTGCTTTCCTTACATGTTTTTTTTTTTAACAAAAGTCTATTTATTTCTAAATTTTATTCTTATTTCAATTTTTCATCTGAACACCGATTCAAGAGCAAACACAATCGCCGTCACCGCGTTTAACCTTAGCACACTTACTTATTTTCCTTAAGCAACACCCGCAGTACACACACCCAACCGCAGGAGGTACGTTCCTATGCTTTTTTTCTATCTATATATAATATGCACGTGAGTGACTGGAGACAAACATTCCACACAGGGGTATATGGCCGCCGGTTGAAATAAGACCGCCGACGTCGCCTTTCAAGAAGTTATGCAAAAGCTGGGAGGAGAGAGTGATTGTGAGGCTAATTAGCCTAATTGAGAGCGATTGCGCCTGGCGTGTTTTTTCTTTAAACAATCGCATAGTTTGACGTGTGGCTGCGCATGAAATTTGCCACTTTGTCGTGGCACCAGTTGCTGCAGTTCCGGCCCAAAATTGGCCAATAAAAAATGAACGAACGAAAGAAAGAAAGAGGCCTGGCGGTGCCATCAAGCAAGTGTGACGTGAGAAAAAGTGACGCTTTAACTCGCACCAGAACATTGAAAGTAATGCAATGTGTTCGTTATGAGAAAGAAAAATTCTTTGAGTAAAAAATGTGGAAAAACCAAATCTGAAATGAAAAAAAAAATATAAAATATATAAGAAATAAATCTTTAAAACTATGATTTTTATTTTATAAGTAAATTAAAAAAAAAAATACATCTGACAATCGTTCCATATTTCTCAAGATTTAAAAAATCTCACTCTTTTACATTTTACTTACTGCATGTCAATTTCTAAATCGAATTAAAAAATTATCAGTGGTTGATAACATTATGTATCATCACGCTTGTTGCCGCGAAGTTGAAATTCGAAAGTGTTTACTTTACATTGCATAAGACAAAACGGCGGCAATCTCAAACACAAAGCAATCGGAAGCAATTAAATTTTTAATCGAAAGCGGCCAGCCGTCAAGTTCCTGGTTCAAATCAAATAAAAGATAAATTAATACACCATTGATTTTTATCGTGGCACATCTGCAGTGAAATCGCAGCAGAATCACACTTATCTTTCTCCTGCAAATTGCAACGACACACAAAAGTCCTTGCACTTTTGTTATACGCATTTGTGATAATTATCTCTTCTGTGCTCTCCAAACTCGCACCACGGCGAACCCTAATTAATATAAAGAGAGAGTTAAATTCTGCTCCTCGCCTTGCCATATAGACGCGGCTCTCATTATCCGGAGCAGCGCAACGCTCGGCTTCCTCCGAAAGAATTAACAACGAACGAAATTCCAACGGCAGTGAAAGCCCTGAAACCTCCTCTATCTAATCTCCACTCGAAAATCTAGCCAAGTTAAATTAGAAATAAAGGAGGATTTATCCTAAGGGCGGCGTCAGGTGAGCAAAGTCAATTATAATTTCACCTCGAAAAGTGGCGAGTACCGTTCGATGTGGTTCAACAGGAAGTCGCGGCGGCGGCGGCTGTATAAAGAATACTTGTTCGCGTTGCTCAAGAACTCTTTGCCGTGTGTACTGCTTTTTATTTTATTATTCAGCTCCGCCTCCTCAACCCTTTGAAACAAACGTCGCGGCTCGTCGTGAATAATGGATTGCTCGTTGTTGTTTTTGTTACAAGAGGCGAGCGAAAAATATAATGCCGCTCTGTTTGTTTTTCGCTTTTGCACCTGTAGAGAGAGAGAGAGATGGAGATTTTTTGCAGCCGACTGCTCTCGCAACCTACTTTTGTGACGGCGCAATTAATTTGCATGAAGAAAATGATCTTTGTTTCGCGGATTGGATAAGAATAAGACACGGTTGCAAAACTTGTGATTGTTTTAACTAATTCGTTGTATAATTCATCCTTGGCGCTAACAAAGAGAATTTTCAATTTAGAATGGAATCTATTGAATCTTTGCTGCGAGAAAATCTGTTGAAATTGGTAAGAGCCAAAAATTCATTTGAACTCTTAGAGTGAAAACAATAAGAAAAATGTTTATGATATAGGCATATAAAAAGATAGAATTTTAATCAGATTTAATTAAAAGAATGAATTTAAATAAAAAAAATATGGAAGTTATTAAATGTGTTACTGGTTGGATGTCAGTATTTCCTATAGAAAAAAGAGGGAATCAGTTTGAAGATTTATATATGCAATTAATTTAATTCCCTAAATAAATTATCAATTTCCAATTAAATCACATTTTATATGGAAAAATCTTGAGTTAGAGAAATTGAATTTATTGAAACAAAATTAAATTAAATAATATGGAATAAAATATTGACATTCGACATTCGACAAAGATCAGTTAGATGTTTTCCTTTTTTTTTAGAATATCCAAGCTCTCCGTTCCTAAATTTCTGCTTATTCCAAAATCTTATAATCTTCTAAAAATAAATTTTTCTCAAGGTTAGAATAAATTAAAATAAAAAAATTTGAAATGCTGACTGAAAACGTTGACATTAAATTCTGAATTTTAACAATTTTCCGATAACTTTTTACCTCAAATTCCGTTACTTCCACAAGTTGATTATATTTTTATTTAACAAATGAAATATGCGAATTTTTAGCCCACTAAGTTTTCTTGCGGTTTTTTTCCGCAGACCCACTTTCAACGTCATTATTTTCGACCAACAAGCAACAAACTCCTCTGGCAATTAATTAGAATAAGAGGAAACCATAAATGCACTGGATGAAGCGGTGCACACGGAAACGTTTTCCTTCGCTCAGCGTGCCGTTCGAAAAGCCTCGTTTCACGCAGTAATGGACCAGCCGCGCATGCTAATCCCGTGTATCTCTTCTTTCTGCTTGCACACGTATATGTGAATTACCGAAAATGTGTGCCACGAGATGGGCATACAACAATAATCCTCTCCGAAACGCAAATCACGCTGATTGAGGCCTGTATCATTCTACTTATCACGATGATGGATAGGTGAGTCCGTTGGTGCGTGAAGGATGCCTGGGGCGCTCTGTAGAGAACGATTATCTCACATGACTTATTCTTTCATTGCGCCACTCGAGAGCACCGTTGCTCCGCGATGACACCTCCGAGCCATTCGCAGAAATCTCACCTTAATTGTCCTTTACTGTGACTTGGCGTAACACTTCAGTGATGATTAAGATGTACAAATTTATCACAAACAATTAAGTCCTTTTAAAAAATAAAAGGATGAAAATGCAGAAAATTTTAATTGTTCGAAATAGGTCGGCTGAGTTGAGAAATGATTAATGGAGAATGACATGTTTTTTTTTTGTCTAATTTGGCATTTAGCAGTTGATTTATTACCTGAATTTAGTGCTGTGATAAAAACAGCTCTCTTGGCAAAGTTTTTATGCATTATATAAAAATTAAAAATATTTCTCACTGCTGTAATCTGATGCGTTCGCGTAATCCTCGTCTGAAACTCGAGCACCAACGGTTGCATAACAATGCGTCCATTCTTCTTATGTGTGCCTCATCATCTCACATGGTGTGCAGAGAAAAATATATATGAAA